AAATATAAACAATGATACGAAGTAGTTTGTCCCACGAGGACACGCGTGACGCGAGTTGAAGAAGAAAATTTTCTTCAGCGACTACGGTTGCGGTGCAGACAATAAGAGATGGATTAATATTCTTATATTCATAAACTTTATCATTCGCGGAGTCATCAAATGTGAACCTATTGAGAGGCCACGACGCGGGGTTGTCACGAGCCCATTGCGGGCCGTGCATCCATAGCGGATGAACTAATAGTTGCGCGGGAGATAAACCTCTAGAGATGCAGTCACTAGGGTTTTGTTTTCCATCAACATGGAAAAAATGACGCGGCGTGAGATACTCTTGTATCTTAGAAATACGATTGGCCACAAAGGTGTCAAATCGGTGCGGAGACGAATGTGTCCAGTGTAAAGCCACGGACGAATCAGTAAAAGCAAACACGTCATCAACTGTACAACGTGCCGCTATTGAGTCGCGGATAAAATTAAGCAGCTGTGCCATGATCAACACAGCGCAGAGTTCTAGCCTGGCCAGCGAGACGGTACGTGTCGGAGCGACGCGACTCTTGGCCATGGCCAGCGTGACGCGGTTTGGTTCTCCTGGAACCACAACACAAATATAAACAACGGCTCCATAGGCTCTCTCACTTGCGTCAGAAAAACCAAGAAGAAAAACGCGGTGTGTATCAGATGTGATACCAAAAAATCGCGGTATTTGAAAATTATGTAAAAGTGGTAACTCATTTATAAAAGTTTTCCACGCGGTGCAAATATGTTCAGACGGCGAGTCGTCCCAACCGATATGGGCGAGCCATAAAGCTTGAATTAATAATTTCGCATATAAAACTACTGGAGCACAAAAACCGTTGAGATCCCATAGTTTAGCTACGGTAGACAACATGAGACGCTTTGTACACTCAGCCCGCGGGGTAAAATTAATAGCAATACGAAAAATATCTTCGCGGGGACACCAATTTAAGCCTAAGATTTTAAGTGAATCATCATTGTCAAACTGAACCTGGCTTGACAAGCGATTTTCAACCGGGATCGCGTTCAGGACCTCTGTCGAATTACTAACAAATTTAACTAAGTTAAATCCGCCGCATCTAAACAGTTCAATTAAATCCTGTGCCAGGCTAGCGCCATCTGCAGACGAACGAGTCGAAATACACAAATCGTCCATATATATGTAGTTTGATGCTATATCAGCAGCAAGCGGAAAATTCTGCTGCTGCTCAGAAGCGAGCTGTCGTACAGCGCGCATTGCGAGATAAGGACTGCAGCGCAGGCCGAAGCAAACGCGGTTAAAATTATATAATTTTACGTCGCTTTCATTCGCAAACCTATAAAGAATATTTAAGAAACGACGATCCGATTTGCGAACTATTAAATTTAAAAACATTTGTTTAATATCAGCGGTAAATGCAATTTTAAAAAGTCGAAAATTTAAAATAATAGCGGTGAGGTCTGTTTGTAAGTTAGGGCCTGAGTGTAAGCAATCGTTTAAAGACATTCCTGACGTTGTCTTGTGACTAGCGTCTAATACGACACGAAGTTTAGTAGTAAGTTTATCTGAGCGACAAACACCATGATGCGGTATAACGTAGTATGGATCCTCCACGTTCAATGGAGGCGCGGGTTCGATAATTCCATTTTTTAAATATTCGCGGAATATCGCGTCGTATTCCTCACGAAGAAGAGGGTTTAAATTAAATTTTCGCTCCAAAATGTTATAGCGACGACGCGCAGAAACTAGAGAATCCCCTAAGCAAGAAGGATCGCGGTTAAACGGTAACGCGGTAACGAAGCGACCAGTGCTATCGCGGGACGTAGTAGAAACAAAGAACTGTTCGCACTGGTGCTCAGCGGGAGATAAATGTTTTTTAGACGGTACCTCCTGTAAAGACCAAAACCTCGTAACTAAATTTTCAATTGAATCTTCGGTCGAAGTGAAAAACGTATGCGTGGATGTAGAAGTCCTAGGAAAATCAACTAAGTTTTCAAGCGAACCTAAAATAATGTATCCAAATGCGGTTTCAAATGCGTCCGGTTTCCCCGGGGGTCCGACCACCTTACCAGGGCGAAGGATCTCGGTAAAAACTTCAGAACCGAGAATCAAGTCTACTTGACCAGGTACGTAAAGGTCCGGGTCAGCGAGCGCAATATTATTTAAATAATCTATTTGTTTCGCGTCTATGTTTGTCGAAGGTAATTTATCTGAGATTTTATTTAAGACGAGCGGGTTAATACGAAGCATGTAACGCGGATCGTAGTGAGAAGCTAAAGTCAGCTCTGTAAAAGTACCTATAGATTGCGTCTCATAATCGCCAATGCCTTTTATTGAGAGAGGATTATTAATAATCTTTGTTTTAATTCCTAAAAATTTACAACATTTTTTCGTTATAAAATGATTTTAAGAACCCGTATCTATTAAAATTCTAATTTGTTTGAATGAGCCATCGCTATAAACAACGTAAGCGCGAGCGGTACCTAACAAAACGTTATTACTATGCGCAGAGGCACGCACAGTGTTCGCCATAGCGCATATTACGTCATTAGCCGTATCGGAATTGCTATGCGACGCTGAGAGAACTTGCGCTGTCGAGTGTACGGGTGATGATAACGCGCCACTGCCGTGCGAGCGAGAGGCTGCGCGCGCAGCGTCGCGTGCGGGTGAGAGCGGGATGGCATTACCACGAGGCGACCACGACCGCCGCGGCGGCGAGACGTACGCGGCTCGCGCAGGGACGTTTTCCCTTTCAGATTGCGAGCGGCTACCTTTATTTTTGAAATGCGTGTTATCATTAAAATGAAGCATAGTGTGATGCGAATGTGAATTGCAATGTTTACAGGCATTAGACGATTTACAAGTTGATGCGGTATGTCGTAAACTGAGACAGTTTACACATGAATGGTTGCGCTTGACAACCTGATATCGTTCACGCGGATTCATGTCGTTAAACTTAGAACAGTTGTAATAATGAGTATGAGTTTTTAAAGAACAAACGGGACATGCGGAATTACTATTTACTAAAAATGACTTTACAACGTTTTTAGAAACAAGCGGTAAATTTGAATGAGGTTTAGACTTAGAATTTAATGAACCATGACGTTGTATGATTTTAATTTGATCGCGGACAAAAGAAAGTAAATCGTCAAGTTTTGGAATTCCACAATTTCGGTTTTCCATTTCAAAAGCGCGGGTGGTCTCACAATCTAGTTTTTTGAGAGCTATATATAACAAAATGAAATCGCTTAGATTATCTAATTTTAAATTATTTATTGCGGATACAGAAGACGAAAATCTATCTATAAAATGTTCTAATTGTGACGCGGAAGAAAGTGGTTTGTATTCAAATATAGTATTTAAATAAGTGGTCGCGAGAAGCCGCTTGTCTTCGTATTTAGAGACGAGGGCGTTAAATATTATTTCGTAGTTGTCAGGTGACGGCGTAATGTCTGCATACACCGACAATGCCTTGCCAGTCAGCTTGCCTATTAAATAATATAACTTATCAGATGACGTCAAAGTAGGGTTGTTATGTATTGTGTCGACAAAACTAGAATAAAATAGCGGCCAGTTGCGCGGGTCACCGTCGAACCCTTTCAGTTCTATTGGTGGAAGTCTAGGCTTCGAATATGAGCTTTGACTAGCGGGTTTGTTAGTGAGACATTTAAGTGAAACTTGTCGCTTAATATGACAATACAAGTCTTCGAAAGCGTTGAGTTTTTTGAAATCTGGCTTATATTTAGGATTTATCTCCATGTTAAAACGATTTAAATCATATAAGACCTTTTCGAAGCTACTACGAACCGATTCTAAACCCTCAGCACGAGTAACCAACGTCTCGATATCTGCGTCACTATTAAGCCTACATGACAAATCGTAGATACTTTGAATACGTTCGAAGTACGCGGAAAGTTTAGCCTCAAGCATAATAATATTCATTTCTTGCGGAGACGTCATGTTTAACAAACTATATAACTGTTTTATATATTATAAATTAGGCGAATGAACGAAATAACTAAATAAAATGAGTAGGTATGACGGTAGTTGAAATCGTATGAATATAACGAACAAAAGAATGCGGTGTGCTACGTTAGCACAAAATATGTTATGTACGTAAATTTAAATATTTACGTATTACAAAACCTATCTATTTTACAGATAGAAATGGATGCGGGACGAAATATAAATAAATGATATAAAATGTATTCACTTATTTTATAATGCGATGCGATGCGAAATACATATCTTAACTTAGTACATTAAAATATGTTTTTTAAATATATAAACGGGATGAAACAGTTACGAAATGAGTACGTGGATACAAATAAATATTAACTATTAAGTTATGCGATGTTAAGATAGGCAAGAAAATTACTTTCGCGATGTGTACGCGCAGGTCTATATTAAAACAAATTAAATAAATGATATTATGTAACAGTAAAAATATGATGATGAGAGTAAAATATTACTTATTGCGGTAGGTACTTGTACTATACACGTTCTAGAACAAAAAATGGCGTAGCGCGAGCGATGCGATCGTTTCGAATGGGAAGCGGGTAGGTAATTGTGGAAATAATTTCAAGGAATTGGAATTAATCCGACGCGAAGTGACCAAAACTTTATGGTGGAGCAAGTGGACTGTAATTTTGGGGGATGCGGGAAGGCGTATTACCTCCCGAGAAGGGACCCCTGCCGGTGATGGACACACCACATGCAAAAAAGCAAAAGTTCAGGGACTCACCTTCTGCTGCAACTCCTATCTCCGCTTCCATGAAAATTAGCACAGGGCACTTAAAGTTCGTATAGTACACAGTAAATAAAGTTTATAAGCGTATAGGGCGCGGTCAACCTGCGCGCGCGCGGTGCGGGATGATAGTTAATTACGCGGAAGCCGTGTTAATTGTTACACGGTGTAACGACGACTGGGGTGAGTGCATCAGCGCACTCACGCGGCTTATCCCATCACAATTGCCTATTTGCAAAATAGCGCAACCACTTAACTTACCATTACCTTTTAAAACTGGTACTATGGGTGTTGCCCACTCACTACTTTTTACCGGAGTCAATACACCTTGACTCACCAGCCTATTTATTTCTTCTTCTACTAATTGTTTCATACTGAACGGTAAGGATCTAGCTTTATAATACTTAGGTGACACATTCTCTTTTAGTACTAGGTTGACCTGCTCTCCTTTGTATGTCCCTAACTCAGAACTAAAAACTTCAGGAAATTTACTTACCAATTTATCTTTAATATTTTCACAACTTAATGAATTTATATTTAATGTTTTAATATTTAATTTTTTCAAAAGGTCCCGACCAATGAGAGAAGGTCCCCCATTCTCAATTACATATAATTTAGCTTTCATTTTCTTTTTATCATAAGCAATGTCTACATTTATAAAACCTAAGGGAGTAATTAAATCATTTACATATGATTTGAGTTTCAGATTACATTTGTACATTTCACTATCATTGAAATATTTATTTTTTATATATTGACTTATAACACTTATAGCTGCTCCAGTATCTATTTCAAACATTACCTTTTTGTTATTTATTTGTAATTCAAGTTTATAAGGTGAGACATGAGTATCACTTAATGTAAATAAATTTTGTATGTCCTCTAAAACAATGTCCTGATTATGTTCATTTTCAATATAATTACAAAGCTTTTTACCTTTCTTAAATCTACAAACTGCCAATAAATGTCCAATCTTACCACAAGATCTACATTTCCTATCTTTAAACCAACACAACACACTTCTTTTAAATTACCCCCTTTTCCACAGCACTTGCATAACTTATTATTACTTCTAGCACTCTGCTGCAGCTGACCACAGGTATCATTCCGTTGTCCTCCTCGCTTCTTTCCAGCCACACCTATCCTGTGTACCTTGGAAGTCATCACCTCTAAATCTCGATCGGTGTTCTCTAACTGCACTGCTATGTTGTAGGCTTTTTCTAATGTAACTTCACTCTCATTAAGTAGTTTTTGTTTTATCTTCTCATTACTTAGACCCGAGATAAACTTGTCTCTTATTTGTTATGTTAGATTTTCTCCATAATTACAATATAGAGATAGCTTTTTTAATTCTGCTAAATATGTATTTATTGATTCGCCCGACATTTGACATCTCTGGCCAAATTTATACCTCTCCGTGATCACATTTGGTTTTGGTTCGAGATGATTCATAAGAATTTTTTTTAATTCTTCATATGTCCTTTCCCTTGGTGCCACTGGTGTGCACAGGTTTTTCAACAGGCTAAATAATTTTGGGCCAATGACGCTTAAAAAAACCGCCTTACACCGGGCAGCCTCTATCTTATTACATTCTAGAAACATCTCAAAACGTTCTATATAATCACTAAATTTCTCACTCTCATCATAGTCGACATTTCCAATGTACATTTTTCCTGCCATTTTTCCAATTTTCCGTATCTTCTCTTTTTATTAATTTTAAATCCTCGTCGCCATTTTGTAATGTATTTCCAACAACGCTTATTTTCAAAATGTGCTTACATAGATGAACCATAAACAATAATGCTAATACAGACCATAGACTACTTAACATTTAAGTATATTAAACACAACAAATACCTTGGGAATAATTGTGCACAAAAGGGGTAAGTGTATCAAATAAGTTCATTTGACCGTTAGGCACAGCATGATGTAATATTATCATATTATGTCTCAATATGTGTATTTTCTATTTGTAGCCTAACGTAACGCCCTTAAGGTGCTGGAATACAATCCCAATAAGAATCCCTGTACACTGGGATAGCCGTGGCTAGGTTTTGGCAGAGTTCCACGCAAAAGCTGTGATCAGCTGTGCAGCCCCGAAAAACTCTCCTGTCGCCCTTCATATTCATTAGATTTAAGTAGCGTTATTATAATTTGTAAATAGCTAGGTTAAGTATAACTTGTAGTTAGTTAGTTTTTTTAGTACCTATTAGTAAATTGTGATTTGTGTAGCCTTAGAATCTAATATAGTGTTGTAAATTTATACATTCTTTTATTTTAATAAGTGGACCCATAACAACCGGCAATTCGAATAAAACAATTGCTAGTATTTTTGGCTTACCGTACGAACAATGGGTATCAGAATATTGTACACAAATAATTGCAAGTTTTGAAAAAGAAATTTTGCCGTTCTATTTTGGATATAATGCCATTTCTCGTCAAGAAATTATTAAAAATAATTGTGATACTGCAAAGAAACTTCAATGTTGGTGAAAATCAACTAGTTTTAATTGTCGATGGTACATACATACGACACCATATTCAGGACAAAAAAAGACACATCTGTACAAGCCCTTCACATTATGCACTACTAACGGTTTTGTTCTTGACTTTGCTGGGCCTTTTTACGGCACCCTAAATGATGCTTCAATTATGAAAATTGTTTTAGAAGATCTTAGTTTAAAAAAACTTTTATTACCAAATGACATATTTATTATTGATCGTGGATTTCGTGATGCCGTTGAATTCTTAAAGGAAAAGGCTTTACTGTTCTTATGCCAGCATTTAAAGGTAGTAAACCTCAATTGACCACAGAAGAAGCTAATGCATCGAGAATAATAACAAAAATTAGGTGGGTGGTTGAAGCTGTTCACGGTAATATTGCACAAAAATATAAACTTTTACATAATTGTATTGACAATAAAATGTTGCCTAAGTTGGGACTGCTGTGTAAAATTGTTGGTTTTTTACATAATACTTATGGCAAACGACTTAATTCAGATGGAGCACTAAACAACATTATAGTACAACATATGAGAAGTAAGATGGGTGTCGATAATACTCTGAGTCAAGAAGTTGTAAGTCAGCGTTGGAATCGAAGAAAATCTATGCTTAAACCTTTGACGGCATTTGAGTTGCTTGATTTTCAGCGTTTGAGTGAAGATTAACTCAAGATTTTCTTTACAGGTTCTTATCAATTTTCTCAGGCTTTATCTTACTTGGCCGAACTATTACATGAGAAAAATAATCTATCCATACAATATGTAAAATCAGCACCAAGCATAATTAAAGCAGAAGTAAAATCAAAAAAATAAAAACAGTAAAGTCTATCGTATTTACATTGACTACATTCTGATGGTACTGATTATAACAGCATTCAGCGTTATTGTTGCGATTGTCCTAATGGTAACCGCACAGTGGGATGCTGTTCTCATGTAGCAGCTATAATATATTATTTATCATACGGGCGATATTTGTCTAAAATTTTGCGTCCTGCTGAAGTATTAACAAAAATATTTGAAACACAAGATGTTCCAACGGTGATCAACTACGATAGCGATGAAGATTAATTTTTTTTTTCTCATAATTTGATTAATGATAAGAAGTTTAGAATAACGATAATGTTTATTAAACTAATGATGAAAAAAGACTATCTTTTTATTTCCTTTAACAATAACCTCAATCCATCAAATAACGTATGACTTGTGCCATAATCATGACTTGTATGATGACCTGCCCAGCGAATTTTATTTTTTTTCTAAATAATGCACCAAATTTTTTTTCAATATAATTTTAATGAGTAAGTAGGGCTTATTAAGTACTATAACATATATTTTTTCGGTGATTGTAGGTCACCAAGAACACTAAAAAAATTAAAGATGAAATATTTATTTATTAATTATCAATGCTCGTAATTATTTAAATAATCTAAAAAAAATACTGAATATACTCTTTAACGTTTCCTACAACCTCATTTTGGATTTATCTCTCTAGCTCAATTATTTTTTAACATATGGCTGTTTGACGGATAATCATATATACAACCATATCTCTAGATTGAAGTGGAATACGGCAGAAAAAATCATATAAATTGCATACACACATCGAGTTGATACTATAACATGAATTTAAAAAGAAGTTGTCATTGGGGGCCGATTCACAATACTTATCCTGCTACACCCTTTGAATTTCTTTGATGATTTTTTAACAAAACTGACTACATTTTATAAATATCAACTTGTTCTGCTTATGTTATATTTCTGAACAATAAATAAATAAGATTAAACTATGAATGAGTTCTATTTCTTTCTATTATTACCGTAAAATCTCATTTCTCACAAAAAAACAATAAATTCAATCTAGAATAAAAAAACGATCAACAATAATAACATACATAGATTCTACAGGAATAAATTAAAAAGAAAAGGTCTACTTTATATAAGGTACGGGCGCCTTGAAAGGCCCATTTTTTGCAATAATTAAACAATTATAAAAAACTATTTTTTTTTCTGTAAACAAAATTTATCACAAAATTCCTCATTTATTTGTGAATAAACTGAACATACAAATCAACAAGTTTAATTAAATTTCTAAACGAAAATAATAGTTTTTAAAAGTGGGCATTTTTAGGAACATAGGTACTTAAAACAGCCCGATATTTATCATGTAATTTATAAACGCTATCAAAACAAATAACATATACTTAAAACTTAGCCTAAATTATGATATTCTTAGGTAATCAGTTTCTTACAATAGTTTTTTTGGTCACATATTGGACGGTGGGCCATCTTAGGCTTAGCAAAACTTAATCTACCTACAAAACAAAAGTCTCTTAATAAAATCAATAAACAACATTTTTCTTCTATTATTTTAACGATTATTTAAATTATAAGCAACAATTTTTAAAACAAATTAACAAAATATTTTCCTCCATAATTTCGGTGGGCCTTATTAAGAGTATAGAAAAAAAAACTATGAAATTTAGATAGATTTTAGTTGCATTCTGGACACAAAAAGTCCTCTATGTCGTTCTTAGTTAGTCCGACACATTCTTCGTGGTACCACGAAAGGCAAACAATGCATTGTCTCATATCTACGATTCGTTCCGATTTACAAGCTCGGCAATACCACCTTTCAGCCTTATCTTCTCTTGTTTTTGCCCCTCTCCCATAACCCCTATTTTCTACATTTACTTTTTTATATTTTAACTTTTTCATAATATTTTGTTTTTTACCAGTGTTTTTAGTTTTTGCTGATTTTGGTCCCCTAACTTTTTTTTCTTGGACAGCATCAAACAAATCCTTCGTTACTCTTTGACCAATATAATTTATTGCTTTTCGCCTTGGTTTACTCTTAATGGTTGCAAAGTTAGGTGTTGGTATAAATTCGTGAAATGGAGATCTCTTTTGTGTTTTCTTCTTATTTTGCTTCAAATTTGATAGCGGCTCATTGTCAGAATCATCAGAATGATGTTCCTCGTGTCTGATGCGTAGTGTCTCTTGGTGTGTGTGAGCAGCTGTTGCATTAGATGGATCCAGATTTTCTTCGTCAGATTCTGATGATGTATAAATCTTACAGTTCCTGGCAAAATGTTGACAGCATTTTTGGATTACGTTTATATCAATATTTTCGTCGTCTGAACCTGATGCCGAAGAATTGATAACTGGTCTTCGTAGTACATTCTGTCTTACTAACCCAGACGTGCTTGGAATTGGAGAATGAAATTGTGACTCCCTATCACATAAAATTGTGCCTGTTGCTGAAAGTTGTTCATCAATATCTCCAATAGCAGATTCGGAAGAGGAACTGTAGTCAACTAATTTCCTACTTGCGTAAGTTGGCGATTGACTCTGTGGCTGAGAATGAGATGAAAGTGGTGGAGATACATGTACATATTCAGTTATCAGTGACGGCGATATACGTAAACTTTCTTCACAATCTGTGTTAGAGTCATTATTGTGATTCACAGCTGACTCTCCAAAATTTTGAGCTTCAGGATCATCTGAGTTAGAAGCAGTTTCATGCAAAATAGGCCGCTGAGTTAGGATAGAAGGTGCAAAAGCCTGCTCGGGAATCGCATTTGGGTTGTAGGGGTGAAGCTTAGTAGCTCTAGAACAGTTTTTTATATTATCTTGAGTTACGCATTTAGGCCATACCTTTGAGAATATTTTGTTAAACCTTGCCTTTGTGAGCTTACGATCTGGATGACGATAGGCGTACAACAATACTTCTTCATCCCAATGGTGCTCGTAGGATTTATTGACTGATTTGTCTAAAGGTTGCAATTCATGAGTGGTATTGGATGGCAGACAATATAATACTATGTTGTTCCCATCTGCGGCATCCACTATCCTAGCATCCAGATGAGAAGCAGCTCCATCAAAAACTAGCAAACATTTCCCGGGAGGCTTATAGTTGCTAAGATGATGTATAAAATCAATAAATAAATCAGTAGTCATACTACCTTTTGGTGCCATTCTGACTATAGTGCCATCAGGTAAATTGTCGTTGAATTCCGGTCTTAACCTTTTATCTTTGAAAATGATCATTGGTGGAACCGAATTACCTGAAGCGTTTACACACATTGCAATTGTGACGTTTTCAGCATGTTCTTGTGCAATAAAATGCACTCTCTTGTTTCCTTTTTGTGCAAGAACATATTGTTGGTGATGCAAGGTTAGCCGACAACCTTTTTCATCTATATTATATAGACGTTCTGGATGTCGAGGAATATCTAATTCGTCATACAACTTTTTGATAGCTGTGAAATGTTGTTGCACGATGTGTTTATTTAATTTTTGAGCTCTTGCAGAATTCATAAACTGTGCTTTACGGACAGAAATTTCAGGGTTACGTTTTAAAAATTTTTTTAGCCATTTTCTGCCTGCAGTGCATCTGCTGTCATTGAAAGAATTTGGTATTTTATGTGATTTACAAGGAAATAAGTAGGCTTGCTTTCTTACAATCTTGCGGGTCAACGGCACGCCTACTTCAGCTAATCGTATTATTCGTCTTGCTAAATCTTTTTCTTGGACATTACTTAGTGTAGTTGCTCGACCAGTTCTCTTTTCTTCACTGCCAGATTTTAGGTAGTTTCTCAAAGTTCTTCTTGGGATACTGAAAGTAGCTGCTGCCTGTCGTTGTGACATACTGCAGTTTTTTACAGATTCAATAGCTGATTTAAGCTGTTGTTCAGTCCACTCACCACGTCGCTTCTTATTGGTTTCCATTTTGTGTAATCTAAAAATAAATCAAAATTCAATTTTAAGTTATGAAAAGAATGTATTTACTAATAACTGATTCAAACATCTATTTTGTATTTGGGCCCCGTAAGTGATTACGAAGATTACAAATTAGCACTGCATACTAACGACTGAGAATTTTTAATTTCAAACCTTAAGTTGAATAAAGTAGTTACTTATGTAAATTTAAGTTTTTCAATATTCTACTGTAATACTACCAACTGTATCTAAAATTTAACTGCCTGTAATACTACCAACTGTATCTAAAATTTAACTGCCTCGGTGGTGTAGTGGCTAGCATGTACGGTTGCACACCCGGAGGTCCTGGGTTCGAGTCCCGGGTCGGGCCAAGTTTAGTTATTGAGTCTTCCTGTATAGTAAGTCTCAGTAACAGCCCGGAGTTGGGAAGTTGGCGGTGTTTCACCCCCGTGCCTCGGAGAGCACGTAAAGCCGTCGGTCCTGCGCCTTAACTCTCACCGGTCGTGTCGAGTGGTCGTCCCACCGGAGTATGAGAGTGATAGGAATAGAGAGTGCACTTGTGTCTGCGCGTACACTTGAGCACTATAATATCTCCTGCGCAGTTGGCTAATCTCATTGAGATTGGCCGCCGTGGCCGGAATCGGCTAGGAGAACATCATCTAAAATTTAACAAAAATGACTCATTTTCTCTAATAAACTATGACATTCAATAGTCCTAATAGGCCCGGACCATCTTAGGAACCCGTGTGATGGGCCTATATAGGCACTTTACCCGGTAACAAGACCAACTTCTTTAAAATGTAAATTATCCAAGAATTCAAACAACACTTACCTTCTTAGGAATGCCCACGAATTTAAGTAACTTTATACATAGAAGAAAATACAAAAACAATTAATTTTTCAAATAAAATTCCAAAAAGATTGTGAAAATGAGGTTATAAATTGGTAGTCATTTGCAACGTATCTGACAAACTGTCAAATATTACAAAGATACCCATATATACTTGCAGTCAGCATTTCATATATACTTGCAGTTTTGTCTATGGCACTAACCGCACATGGGCGCGAAATTTAAACTCATTCGACTCATTAACTTGTAAAATTTCGAAAGTGGGCCATCTTAGGAACCGGGCTATCTTAGGCTTATGTACCTTATCAGATTTTATGGCGATATTATATGGCGAAGATGGTAAGGATCTTATTTCCGATTTTTTTTCTAGGTAACAATACTAAAATATTATAACCTAATATTATTACGATCTAGCCAATATGGCTAATGAGTAAATTAACTTTAACTTAGTTTTATAACATAATATATCTAAGAAGGTGTCCAATAGCACTTTTCTTAGTCTCTAGTTAAGGCGAAGACACTTTGTTCTTGTGTTCTATATTAGTAGCACTATATTATTATTACTTTCGCTACATTACACTATTTTTTTAACACTACACTAACTCAAAAGGTTTAGTTCTTTTGAGCCTTCTATGTCCGTGTTGTCGAGGAGCTGGATTGCCTCGATATTCACATGCTTATGAAGTCTTTGCTCGTGAGCTTCTGCGTATTTTTTTATCACTTTATCGACAATCTCTACATTCAGGTCCCGATGGAGATCGTCATTTCTTACGTACCAGGGTGCATTAACTATTCCCCTGAGAACTTTGTTTGGGAATCGTTGGATGATAAGAACATTACTCTTTTTGGTATAGCCCCACAGCTGTATATCATAGGTCCACACTGGCATCACGACTTGTTTATATAATAATATTTTGTTGTGTACGGACAGAGAGGAATGTCTTCCCAACAGCCAATACATCTTTTTGTACCGGAATTCCAATTCTTCTTTTTTCTTCTTAACGTGAGCTTTCCAGCGTAGCTTCGCGTCAAGCGTCATTCCTAAATACTTTGCTGTATTTTCATATGGTATGATGTTATTGTTAATAAATATCGGATGGTAGTCTTCTTTTTTGTTGGTGAAGTTTATATGAATCGATTTTGATTCATTTTACTTTATTCTCCATTGAAATGTCCAGTCATGGATTTTATTAACCGCTGTTTGAACCTTTTCTGCTGCTTCTGCATGAGAATTTCCAACCGCCATTATGGCAGTGTCATCAGCAAAGGTCGCGATGGTATTATTTTCTAATTCGGGTATATCACTGGTGTATAAAAGGTACAGGACCGGACAAAATACACTTCCTTGTGGCACCACAGCTCTAATACATTTAATTTCAGAGTAGGCATCTTCATGCCTTATTCTAAATAATCTGTCTGATATATACGATTTTAGTATATCCGAATATGACTTAAGGTTCATACGCACTATGCGGGTAGCCGCATTGCGGCTAGCCGCGCGACTGACCGCAGGATGCGGTTGCGAATGCGGCCAGTCGGATCGCGGGCAGCCGCATTCGCAACCGCAACGTGCGGTTGAAGAACCGTTGCGATTTGCGGTCATGTCGATCCATTTCAAAGATGGACGTGGAAGAAGTTGCAGCTATTTACTACATTTACACACGTTACGTAAAGAAGAAAAAACAAAGAAAAAAGTACTGGGTGCATCCTTATTTGCAAACACGAGATGAGAGCAAGCATTTTGCAATATTTTTCGAAGAACTAAAAAAATATGAAGATAAGTTTTTCGGATTTACTAGAATGAGCATAAAAACGTTTGAAGAATTATTGAACATTTTAGAAAAATTTATAACAAAGCAAGACACACAATTTCGCAATAGTATTAAACCGGAAGCAAAGTTAATAATAGTGCTACGGTAAGTAAAATAAATATGTATAATTCAATTTTTATTAAAATAATGTAGGTACACATTTCAAGCATCATCGTCAGTGATGGAATTAAAAAGTTCCATATAATCACTCTCCTGAGATTTTTCGGAAATTGGCGATTGTGCATTTGTCGGATTCCTCACAATTTCTTGAGACGTGTCTCGTCCAAACTGCAAAGACTGCACAGGCTGCGTGTAGACATTACTTCCTGAATACTGTGCCGTTTGATATCCATGATGGGTATTCCCTCGTCAAACCTCCGAGAAGTTTGTACGGTGAAAATAGGGACTATTACCAGAATAATGTGACGTTTGATATCCCCGGTAAAAATTAGGCCTTGGATAAAAATTCGAATAATTGAAAATCTGCGCATCTTTAATTACCTTTAAAATATCTAATTTACTTTGCAATTGCATATGTTCTGGAATTTTTTTTAATTCTTTTACTAGAGACAAGAAAAAGAGGCGATCCTCGTCATCTTCAACACTCTTTCTTTCTAAATTTCTATTCAAGGCCCCGACTACCTCTCTACCGATAAGATCATCACTATTATTTTTCTTGTTTCTCTTTTGTGCCCATGAAGTATTTGATGGAAGTGTTTCTTCATTTTGCATAGCTGTGTTACCATCTTCATTTTCTGTAGTTACATTCCCCGTTGTGCTATTGACAGTTACAGTATCTTTTAAAAATAACAAACTATCGTAGAAAACATATGAAGCCTTTTTTTGCCGCTGATCCGCTCTTAGTCTCTTTCGCTTTATGGGCCTTCACAAAACAGTCACGAATATTTCTCCATTTTTTTTTGAATACTCAAACCTAAAAAAAAAACATTGTTTCAGATATTTGGCGTCAGGCTGTTCATTCGCAGAATTGCATTATATGTTTAAGATTGGAATTAGTACTATCGCCGAAATAGTTCGAGAAGTATGTGCAGCTATATGGTTTTGCTTAAAAAATATATGCCTACCACAACCAACCAAAGATATGTGGCTTCAAATTGCAAATGGTTTCTCTACTAGAGCACATTTTCCGAACTGTATAGGTGCTTGTGACGGAAAACATATTAGAATTATAGCACCTAACAATAGTGGATCAATGTGCTTCAATTATAAAGGATATTTTTCTTTGGTATTGCTAGCAATTTGTGACAGCAGCTACAAATTTGTGATGATTGATGTTGGAGCATATGGAAGATTCGGTGACTCAGCAATATTTCAAAACTCAAACTTTTATAAAAAAAATCCAGAGAACCGCTTGAACATTCCTGAACCAGCACCTATTTCAGGAAACAATGCAACTTGTTTCCCCTTCGTTTTTGTAGGAGACGAGGCATTTGCTTTAAGTACGAGTATGATGCGCCCTTATCCGAGAAATAATTTAAATATTACAAAAAGAAAACATATTAGAATTAAAAAGGTTATTCCCGCATCGTTCAAAACTCATTCGCCGCCGTCTTTTTCAGTAGGTACCTACTCGTGCATTTTACAATTCGCATCTCGTTGCATTGAAATGAATTAGTGTACCACGTTGCTTTGGTGGGAAAAATATACGTGTTAAAACGTAAACTAGTGTAAAAAATATAGCAAGTAGAAGAAAAAATTCCTTTCTAAAAATAATATAGACGTAGACCAAATAATGTACTAAAAGCAATCATAACTTTCTACTAGATGAGTCATTTTTCATTCATACAACAATTGATTATTTCGATGTTCAATAATGTTTGTTTTTAGAATATATCTATAAGGTAATTTCTAGAATAAATATTAATTTTAGTAATCATTAAAAGATAACAGAATAGCTATATGTAAGCTTAATGATCCTCTTATCTGAACGTCCGAGGAATTTCTGCCACACTAAAGTAAAATAGCGATATAAATCAATTATTATCTGATTATGTGTTTAAAATGCAAATTATATTATTATAACTAGCGACTCACCCTCGGTCCGCTCGGGTTCGTCCCTGGGATGGGGTCTGGGAGGACCACCCTTATCCTTATCACTTAGGGGTATGAAAAATAGATAGTAGCCGATTCTCAGACCTACTGACTACGCATATAAAATTTGATAAGAATCGGTAAAGCCGTTTCGGAGGAGTACGGTAACAAACATTGTGACATGGAAATTTTATATATAAGATAATCATATCTCAAAAAAAAAACAACACATGAATTTACTAACTTACGTTTTAATAAATCAACCCTTTAAAAGTAGTAGCGGTGACGTTAGAATTTTGTCTGATTTGTTAAAATTTTGAGCAACACTACATACATACGGTATATCCTTATCATGATTTATGAGTTCAATTTAATTCAATTTACTTGTTAATGGCTTCAAAACGTGCCAGTTGAGTAAATATTACTTCGCCAATGTCACGTAGAATGGATTATAGACTTTGTGTGAGAGCAATTATAGACTTTGTGTGGCTAGACGTTACATTGAATGTACTCTTGGCGTACTTGCGAATAAGTGGCGCATTTTTCACAGACCAATTAATGTTCACATCGATTTAGTTAGTGATATTATTAAGTCTGCTTGCATTTTACACAACTTTGTAAGAGACAGAGACGGATATTCTTTTAGAGACTCATTAAGTAATCCACTAACTGAAACTGTTACTCGAGATAACGTGCGAAAAAACAATAGAACTGCTTTCGGATATCGAGAATTATTTGCAGAATATTTTATGCATGAAGGGAGGGTAGAATGGCAGGATAATTACATTTAAAAAATAAAATGATTTTGATAATTACCTAGTTTTTGTTTTTCCTCGTTTGTAAATTCCGTACCGTGATAAATATGCACTAACTCTTCCCATGCTCTTTGTTTTAGTATTCTATCAGAATACTCTGGTAATTTGGTGTTCCAAACTGCTGGCCGACTCTGGATTTCGATGATAAATTTTTCGGTATCGAATTCCATTTTACCAGACGTACCACGTGCACACACTCACTCAATGGCGGGCAGCCGCAGACTGAACCGCACAGTGCGTATAGCAACCGTCCGGCTGGCCGTCACTTGGGCCGCAGCCCTCCGAGCGACCGGAGCGGTCTGCGGGTAGCCGCATCGCAGTGCGCATAGAAATGAATATTACGTACATAATTGTGCTTGCGTTCAGCCGGACGGCTAGCCGCAATGCGGCTGCCCGCATAGTGCGTATGAACCCTTATAGTCTGATTTTTAATTCGACGGAAATATGACAGCTATCATTCTTTGACAATTCAGACATCATAAACCTTTTCTGTTTTGTATTTTTTTAATATAAAATAACAATAAATATGAAACAGAATTAGATCAAGTAAACTATATGTATGACATTGTAAATAGTCTTTATTTTGTGCAATCAATGCAAGCTAACTATAATGAAAATTTTTAATGGTTAAATGAACAAAACAGAGTAAAACAAAATATTTTACAAACAAAGGGGTTTTACTAAAAAAGGCTTGCAACCTATGGATTATTGGACAGGGATTCCTGTAATAGAAAAATAATTTCGTTAATAATTATTGTAACTTCGTAATATGATAATAAAAAAAATTACCATTTTTGAGTTATCAATAATTTTTTAAGTCTTAGTTTTTCTAATTGAAACCTTAACTTCAAGAAAGGTTTATTTTTTTATTTTGCTAAAATGAATGTCTCTTGGTTTCTCTAATATTAGTTTTATCCTCTGTACATAAACGGTACTACTGTGCCTTCACAGTTATTTTACCTCTAGCTCTTATGTTGGCCAATGTGAGCGTTATGTTGCCATATTTAGCTCATATGACTCCTTTATACGAAATGTTAAATTTTTTATATGCAGTTATTATTAAACTATTATTAATAATATCTATGCCTATTTTTTCTTACACAATAACATTGTAATGTTTATAATAAAATCTTTTGTTTTCAGGATGGATGAACGCATTTAAATTTTTCTTTTTAAAAAATCAGTTCGGTTGTACGAAAATTGGTTTAGCAAAGTTTAAATTTTGTTCTATTTGATATACAAAAGTAAAAATTCGTAAATTACATGAGCGTGATATATTAATTATTAAATATAAATTATAAACAGCCATTTGAATTATAAATATATTTTTTATTTTGAATAAGCATGATCCATGTGGATTGCCAATGATGAATAAACACTATTAGATGAATCTTCGGAACTGCTGTCAGATTCTGTATCAGACTCATTATTTAATTCTATTATGAACCTGTCCATTTCAGCGTCCATACACACATCTCTTTCACGAAGCTTGTCTTCAATGTGGCGCACATGTTCGCATTGTTTTTGCCAGTCTTCTGCAGTGATACTTTGAAAAGCTTCTTCAGCTAAATTAACTATATTGTTTGTTTCTTGTCCTACGTTTTTATTTGCTACTCGCCTTTTGACAAGACTCCACATAAATTCAATTGCGTTTAACTCGCAGTGATACGGCGGTAATCTAGCCACTTTGTGGCCATGAGCTTGAAGCATTTGATCGGCTTCATATATTGGAGCTTCTTTATGTTCTTTTATAATTTTATAAAGTTGAGCTTTTACCATTGTAGGTAGATACGATAACCCCTTATTTATGATCCAGTTTTACATTTCTGCTTTGGTAGAGCTTAATGTTGGTGCCTTGTTTAACTTTACCGTGTGATAAGGGGCATTATCCATAACCACTAAACTATTAGCCAGCAAGTTAGGAATTAGTTTTTCCTAAAGCCATTTCATGAAATTTGTTTTGTTCATGTCATCATGGTAGTCACCTGATTTCGACTGGGATTTAAAAATTATTAAAGCTTTTGGTATAAACCCCATTTCACCACCCGCATGAACAATTATCCATCGTGCACCAGCAGAATCGTTTTTTAGGACACCTTCATTTTCTATTTGCCAGCATTTATTCACTGTGTAAGACGCGTGAATATAAGTCTCGTCCAAGAATACAACAGGCCTACTTTCATCGCGATGTTGTTTCAAAATAGTTAAGTATCTGTATCTCCAAGCTACAATATCAGGCTTTTCCATAAGTAACTTTCTTTTTGACCCACATTTTTTAAATCGAAATCCAATTTGTCGGAAAATTTATGTCAATTTTTAACTCTGCTAAGAGTTTTCCCAAAGTCGGTACCTCCTTTTTGACGGTATACGTTTCATGTATTTTATTTCGAACTGCACACAGATCAAAATCATCTAGTATAATTTTCTTTTCTTGCACGCGTTTCTTTCTTGGCGTAGAATTTTTTTGAGATGACTCGCCTTCTTTGGTAATGGTGCTGACGGTTTTTTCAGATATACCTGAAACATGAAAAAAAGCTTTATTTGATAGTCTAGGTATTTCTTAGCCTATTTCTTCTCAATAATGTCCCTACTTACGTTTAAGGTACAATCATTCGCTTCTAAAGGAAAAGTGAAGTACTAATTGTTAGTACTAAATAGAGTACAGCTCGGCCCCTTGTTTATTTTATTATATATTAAAAACAAATAGCAAGGACATGAAAATTAAATATAGAATTAAAGTCAACTGAATACAAAAACTCGACATGATACTATAAAAATAATACATAACAAAACATCACAAAATATTTGTTGTCCTCGTGTAAGTAGACTTACAAAAAATACAAGCAGTCGAACATGCCTTGTGGTGTTAGCAAATCGAATATCATGTGACAGAACTATATATTATATTGATGGTGGTTATGGTTTAACCCGGCGTCATGGGGGTTGGGTCTCACGACCCGTCACATTTTCTATTACTTGTAGTTAAATTAGTATCGGTGCGACGTTGCCGTTCTTCTCAGTAGCTGGATCTGTTGAGTTGTTCTATGCGTCGCAGGTAACAAATTAGTCGTGCGACAGCCGCAGCGGGAGTTACACATGCACAAATCTAAAAAAGTTATGTGAGACCCATCCCCGCAGTTAGTGTAACAATTTCGCGCCATTTTGTATACGTATCATTTTAATTTTTTACCGTAGATTTATGCTTTTATTTCCGTTTTTTTTTTTGTTGTTGTTTGTAATTTAAGTTGCTACGAGTAATATATAGTTTAATGTATTTTATTTGTGTTTTTGTAGGTACTTAGTAAAAAATGGACCGAGAAGAGAAAGAAAGACAGCGTATACTGTCGATTTTACAAGAGTCTGACTCTGAGTCTGCGTTGTCAGACCAGGAGTGTATTGAGGAAGATCATTTGAGTGAGCGTAGTCATCCCAGTGATACAGAGCAAGAAATCTCAGAGTCTGACGATGATGACATTACGCTATCTACGCTGTCGCATAGAAATCGTTCGCCACAGTTGGAAGAACATTCTACATTTGGATCGACTTCGAGCTTTTATCGTGGCAAAGATAGTACGATTTGGTATAAGACGCCTTTTCGACAAAATGTCAGAACCAGAACGGAAAATATAATTCATCAGTTGCCAGGTGTAGTGACAGAAGCAAAATCGGCGATGTCTGAAGTGGAATGCTGGAATCTTTTTATTACTGAGGATATGCTACAAATCATACTTATGCATACTAATTCACGCATTGAACCTAAAATAGCTTCGTGTACTAATTTATCTAAGTACACCCATGTTAAAAAATGCACTATGATTGAATTGAAAGCTTTTATAGGCCTTCTTTATCTTGCTGGTCTTTACCGATCAGGCAGACAAAATTTGAGCGATTTATGGGCTACTAATGGGACGGGTGTCGATATTTTTCGGCTTGTAATGTCTTTACAGAGATTTTATTTTATTCAAAGTTCTTTGACCTTTGATGATATTTCTACACGTCAGCAAAGAATTCAATTAGATAATTTAGCTGCAATTAGAGAACTTTTTGAAGCTTTTGTAGAAAACTGTAAGAAAACCTACATACCAAGTGATTGTCTAACAATTGACGAAATGCTTGTAGCTTTCCGAGGTAGGTGTAAATTTCAGCAGTATATACCATCTAAACCTGCTAAGTACGGCATAAAAATTATTGCTTTAGTCGACGCAAACAATTATTATATCAAGAACCTAGAGATATATCCTGGAAAGCAGCCTGAAGGACCTTTTTCTATAAGTAACAAACCATTTGATGTTGTTGACCGGATTGTACAGCCTATTACCAGAACAAACCGAAATGTCACATTTGATAACTGGTTCACTAGTTATGAACTGGTGCAGTATTTGCTCACGGAACATAAGTTGACATCAGTTGGTACCCTGCGAAAAAATAAAAGACAAGTTCCAGCGGAATTCACTAAAACTCGCGGAGTTGAAGTTTTTTCATCCCGATTTGGTTTTTAAAAGGATATCACACTAGTTGCTCATGTGCCTAAAAAAAATAAAATAGTGTTGCTTATGTCTAGCCAACACCACAATGATGCCATTGATGAAACAACAGGAGAGCAACGCAAACCTGAAATAAATACGTATTACAACAGAACGAAATGTGGTGTGGATGTAGTTGACGAGCTATGTGCTACATACGACGTAAGTCGTAATTCTAAAAGGTGGCCATTGACGATTTTTTATGCTTCATTGAAGATAGCCGCGACTAGTGGCCTAATAATAAATAAAATTAATAATTGTTCAAAAACAAAACGAAGGCGATTTATAAAAAACCTGGGCCTCGGTCTTGTCATGGAACATCTAAAACTTCGTCAAAATATATCAGTCCTTCCACGTGAGTTGCGACAAAAAATTGGAAAATTTGTAGGTGAGTCTTCAGGGGAACCTCCGGCAAAAAAGGCTAATGTTCGCAAAAGGTATCAAGTGTGTCCAGCCAAGAAAGACCGTAAAACAAATTACACCTGCGAGAGTTGCAACAAATATATTTGTTTTGAACATATTGTACCTTTCTGTGCTGACTGTACCAAAGATAATGATTCGGAGTAATTATTATTATTTTTTCTTCCAAAGATAATCTGGTTTCCTACAAAAAAGTGCCATTAAAACATTAATAGTGTTTGTTAATTAATAATAGAGTTACATTTAAGTAGATGAGAAAGATTTTATTAATATTTGTGTTTTTTTAATGATCTAATAAATATGATTAAAACATGATATTACATAATATTTTTCTTTTATTTATTTACTTCATATATCTAAAAAACCAAATACGGATAAATATTATCTTTTTTATTTATAGTGTTTAAATAACTGATATATAATAAACGGGTCTGTGAGACCCACCCCAACGTCCATGTAACATTTTTCCACCCCCATGACGCCGGGTTAAATTAAAATAAAATTTAAATTGGGTAAAATGTTAAAGACTGGTAACCCTATTTTACATACCTGTCATGGCGGCTACTCGTTAACGAACATTTCCAAATGGAATTAAAGGAGCATTATTGTCTTTTTCCCTTTCACAAAAATCACGCACTGATAATACAATATTTCTTCCGCTACTTTGAATGTTTTCGGCATGATTATAGATAAAATATCACAAATATAACAGAAAAACGCTAGGAACTTCAAAGGACGACTCGATAGTAAAGCCAACATAAAGAAAACATATCATGACATCTGTCAGAGGTAAAATAAATGTGAATGGACTGTAGGTGCCAATCAGCCCAGTGATACTAAAATGAATTATGAAACTACTGTACCTCAGAGCGAGACAAATTTATTTTACAATAAAGCAGCCTTATATAGTTCTTCGTAGAACACAACCATAGCGCGATTCAGACTACTAAGATAACGAATAAGATAAATACAACGCCATCTATCGAGTGCAAGTGTAAACAATTATTAATAATATTGATTTAGACTTTATTTTCGAACACATTCTGAACATCCCGCACACCAAAGGGATTATTATTCCTTTAGTACCGCCCACCCTGATCAAAATTCAACCAATATAAAACAACAAAAGCAATGGACTGTATATGTAATTAAAAGCATTAAACAGGGGACGGTGTATTTATGGAGTATTTCTTACGACAGTATAATCTATGGCCTTAAACAAAGTATAAAATAAAAATCTAACTTATAACAAAATCTAAGTAGTAACAAAGATTAAGTAAGTCCTATCTATCTTAAGTCTAGACAACAAGCAAAACAAATAGTATCCTACTTAAAGGTTAAATTAAACTTAATAAAAGCCTTCAAAAAATATAACAGAAAAAGTGTAAGTAAATAAATTCACCAATAGTTTTAAACAAAACAAACTGAAACTCAATAGCAAACAAATCATAAACCATTTTCAGTATTAAATTAAAATCTAAATAAACATAAGCCAATACGGCAACACCAAACAATGAATAATTTTAGCCTCAACGGGAAGCAAGCATAACTTTGAAGTTGGACGTTTGATCGTGGTATCCTTGCAACGAATAGAAACAACACGCGTCAAATTGTCTTTCCCCGGATGCAGTTGTATTATTTTACCGTACAGACATTTGGCTGGAGGTAAGTTATCTTCTTTTATTAAAACTATATTACCTTCTTTAAATTCCGGAATTCGAGCAGCCCACTTCTGTCTTTGGAAGAATTGTGTTAAGTATTCTTGTTTCCATCTCCGCCAAAAGTGTTGCACCATACGTTGTACCAACTGCCAGCGCCGTAATGTGCTCATTGGAGCATTCTCAAAATTACAGTCCGGTGGGACAATCAACGGTTGACCCACTAAGAAGTGACCGGGAGTCAAAGGTGCTGGGTCGTCGGAGTCGTTACTTCCTTGAGACAGAGGCCTAGAATTTAGGCACGCTTCAATTTGAGATAGTAGAGTGGACATCTCCTCAAATGTGAGCGTGGAGTTGCCTACCACACGCCTCAGATGGTGTAATGGGTGACAGAATGAACTGGTAGGAAAAGCAGAACTAGTGAATGGAGTTAATCGATTGAACATCAAGTCAGACAAGTTGTTTGCATGCTCAGTAACAGCTACGACTAGTAAGGTGTGGCATCGAAGGTTTGGACACATAAACAGTAAAGACCTAAACACTATGAGAAATGGTGTAGTAGAGGGCATTGATTTCTCAGACAGAGCTGTGATTGACAAATCCAAGTGTATTACATGTCGTGAAGGAAAGAAATCGAGACTGCCTTTCACACATAAAAGTACCAGATGTGAAAATGTGCTTGAGGTGGTTCATGCAGATGTATGTGGACCCATGGAGCAGCTTTCAATTGGATTATCACGTTATTTTTTGCTCTTTGTCGTTGATTATAGTCGAATGGCATTGGTCAATTTCCTCAAAGCCAAAAATGAAGTCTTTAATTACTTGAAGGAATTCAAAGCTTTAGTTGAAAGACAGACAGGAAGAAATTTGAAAGTTTTGAGGTCTGATAATGGAGGAGAATTTTGCTCTTCAGAGATCGAAAGTTTTTTAAAAAAGGCAGGGATTGCACATCAAAAAACTAACCCTTATACCCCGGAACAAAATGGGATGTGTGAACGCTTAAACCGAACAGTGGTGGAAAGAGCTCGATGTATGTTATTTGATGCTAAACTAGAGAAATGTTTCTGGGCAGAAGCCGTAAATACAGCTGTTTATCTGCGAAACAGGACTTTAGCATCTGGTCTGACTAAAACACCATATGAACTCTGGACAGGCAAGAAGCCAGATGTTAGCCACCTAAGAGTTTTTGGAAGCACTGCAATGGCCCACAATCCCAAAATCAAGACTGCCAAGTGGGATAAGAAGGCAGAGTCTCATATTTTTGTGGGGTATGAAAACAATATAAAAGGCTACAGGTTATACAATCCCAAGACAAATAAAATCATCACCAGCCGAGATGTCATTATAATGGAAGACACTGAAAATAGTTCAGATGTGATCCAAGCTAAAATTGAGGAAGAACAAAGTGATAATACCACAGAGGACGAAGAAACTGTTATCAACTCTTCGGATGTCACATACATACCAGATGAAACAGAAAGTAGTTCTTCAACCTCTGATGAATATTACAATGTGCTCAGTGATACAGAAGTACTGCCTGATAAGCCTACTGTTTTGGATAAACGTCAGAGGAAGCAACCAGATAGATTTGGATTTATTAACATTTGCATAGAGAGTGTTGGTGATAAAAATTTAACCTATGAAGATGTCATGAATGGGATAGAACGTGTACAATGGTGTAAAGCAATGGAGGAGGAATTGCAGTCATTTCGTGAGTGTGATGCATGGGAAGTGGTAGATAAACTAGAAAGTAGAACAATAGTGCAGTGTAAATAGGTTTACAAGAAAAAGGTAAACAGTGATAATAAAGTGAGATATCGTGCTCATCTGGTTGCCAAAGGTTTCACACAAAAGGCAGGTATAGACTATAATGAAACTTTCTCACCAGTACTCCGTTACTCGACACTAAGACTCTTGTTTGCATTAAGTGTAAAGTATAATCTAGATATGACTCACCTTGATGTAGCCACTGATTTTCTGAATGGATATTTAAATGAAGCTGTATATATGTGCTTACCTAATAATTTTGAGTGTTTTGATAGGGAAAACAAAGTTTTAAAGTTAAAGAAAGCTATTATTATATGGCTTAAAGCAATCTGCCAGAGCCTGGTACAAGCGAGTGGATGATTGTTTACAAGGTCTAGGGTATAAAAAATGTATGTATGAACCATGTTTATTTGTTAAACAATATGAAAATTCCAAAACATATATAGCATTATTTGTCGATGACTTTTTTATTTTTTCAAATTGTAAAAATGAAACAGAATGTATTAAAACTGAATTAAGATTTAAATTTAAAATTAAAGATCATGGGGAGATTAGACATTGTTCAGGCATGAGAGTTAGAAAAGAAAATAATGTAATTAGTATAGACCAAGAACATTTTGTAGAGGAGTTATTGAGGAAATTTAACATGAAAAATTGTAATACAGTAAGTACACCAATGGAGGTAAATTTAAAGCTTACAAAAGAAAACACTTGTCCCAGTAAGTACAGGGGTACTTCACTATCATCAGTAATTAATAGGAAGTTTGCTTTATTTGTCCATACTTACCCGTCCAGATATATCTTATGCTGTTTGCTATCTTATATTATTTTTAAAGTACTTAAAGAAAACAAAACATTTTGGTTTGAAATATGTCAAAGATGATCTGGATATAATTGGGTATGCTGATGCTGTTTGGGCATCTGATAGTTTAGACAGAAAATCCTATACTGTATTAGGTAGTCCATTAAAATAAATTACTCCTTGTCTATGTTTATATATTTCCGCTTCCCGTCAGTGTCGCTGTCTTCGCCATCGTAGTTTGTAAAAAAAAAATGTCTTCTGCACACACTGTCACGCACGTATGTTTTATAAGTCAAATAAATATATAATGCCAAAAGTTTTTTTAAGTCTCTAAACCTAAAAACCTGATATGGTGTCAGAAGTAAAAGTCAATAAGAAGATACAAAAGTCAACAAGAAGAAATGGATCAAGAAAAGAAATCGCACTCGTCGCCATTACAGCCATCACAGGTAACAAGTCCCAATGCATTAATCGGCCCAGGTTTTATAAAACCATTGGATTTAAAAAGCGACAACATGCCTCTGAGCTGGAAAAACTGGATAACGCAGCTAAAAATTTATTTACGAGCTAACAACTTGGAACACGAACAAGACAACCGCAAGGTCGCCATCTTGTTACATTTTATAGGCGCCGAAACGCTACAAATTTTCTACTCGTTCAACGTGTGTATTGATACCGTAAAATTTGATGCCCTTATTGAGAAATTTACACACCACTTTACTCCTCAAGTCAACATCACCATGGAACGCCATAAATTGTTTAACCGACGTCAGGGAATAGAAGAATCCATTGATGATTACGTCACTGACCTAAAGAATATAAGCAAAAAATGTGAATTCAAAGAATTAGAAGACTCAATCCTAAGAGACATACTTAGTTGGAACCTTACACCTCAAAATCAGTACATTAAAGAAAAAATATTACTAAAAAAGCCACATACGTTCGAAGCAGCTATAAACATTGCTAAATGTGCTGAAATAACAAAAATACAAGCGAAAACCTTAGAAGATACAACATTTGTAGGCCAAATACAGACAAATAAACAAAGAAACAGGTCAAGACATCGCCAACATCAGCCAAACATCACCAGACAGTCCAGCCGTTCCAGACAATATAGCAGTTCAAGACGGTCAAATACTACAGAACAACCAAAATGCAGTCGATGCGGACAGATACATCGTTTCAAATGTCCAGCCAAAGGAGTCAAGTGTAATAAGTGTGGTAAATTTAATCACTTTGCAGCTGTATGTCACTCTAAACAGGTACAAAATATCAATTTAGATCTTAATCAGTCTAATAATAATCTTTTTGTAGGCACAATTCATATTAATGGTATTGAATCAGAGTCATGGCAAACCAATTTATTAATAAATAATGTATGTGTTAATTTCCTTCTAGACACAGGTGCTGCTACTAATATATTGTCATATCAAACATGGAGTAAATTAAATATGTCACCTAACTTACTCACCAAAAGTCTACACAAATTATCTACTTATAGTGGCGAGTCCATTCCAACTGTAGGTCAATGTACCCTACCTCTATGTCATAATGGAAAAATATATAATGTTTTATTTCATATTGTCAACATGAATGCACAGAATATAATAGGCAGGGATACTTGTAAAACTCTCCAACTTATTAAGAGAATTCATAAAGTAGAGATAAATAATAGTCCAAAAATTATGTCTGATAATAGTGATTTATTTCAAGGTTTAGGTTGCTTAAAGGATTTTACTTGTGAGTTAACAGTTAAGCCGGATGCAACTCCAAGTATAGATGCTTGTCGTCGAGTCCCATTTCAACTAAGAAAAGTATTAAAAGCAGAGTTAGACGAACTAGAGAAAAGCAATATCATTTGTCGTGTCGAAGAGCCTACCGACTGGGTAAATTCACTTGTCATTACTACAAAAAAGAACGGTAAGTTAAGACTCTGTATAGATCCTCGCAAACTAAATAAAGCTATTATGAGACCTCATTACCAATTTCCTACTCTAGACGAAATAAAGTCAGATCTTGTCGGGTCGAAATTTTTCACTACACTAGATGCCAATAAAGGCTTCTGGATGCTCAAACTCTCTGAGTCTTCCTCAAAATTATGTACTTTCATAACTCCTTTTGGAAGATATAGGTATACACGTCTACCATTTGGCATAAATGCCGCACCAGAAATTTTTCATCGAGAAATGGTCAAACGGTTTAGTGACATAAATAATGTTTAAATAATGATGGACGATTTTCTTATATATGGCAAAAGTCTTGAAGAACATGATGAAACCTTACAAAAAGTCTTAAATAGAGCTCGTGAAATTAATATTAAATTTAACAAGGAAAAATCAGTCATTTGCGCTACTGAAGTTAAGTATTTAGGACACTTTTTTAGTCAAAAAGGTGTTCAAGTTGACCAAACAAAAGTAAAAGCAATTTGTGACATGCCCAAACCCAATTGTGTTAATGATCTTCAAAGATTTATGGGTATGGTCAATTATCTTAGTCCTTTTATTCCCAATTTGTCTAAAGAAAATAGCCTTTTAAGGACACTTCTGTCTAAAAATGTTGAATGGTCATGGTCTGAACAACATGAAGTAGAATTTAATAAAATTAAAAATCTAATAAGTAGTGCTCCAGTTTTAACTTACTATGATCCAAGTAAAGAATTAACATTATCAGTAGATGCTTCAAAAGATGCCCTAGGTGCTGTAATATCACATAATAAACAGCCAATAGCATATGCATCAGCCTCTCTAACAAAGTGTCAACAAAATTACTCTCAAATTGAAAAAGAATTAATGTCTATATTATTTGGTTGTACAAAGTTCCATCAGTACATATATGGTAAGACAGTCACAGTGGAAACTGATCATAAACCACTTACACACGTCTTTAATTTCATACTTTTTTTAATGAGCTGAAACAATCTGGACCGCTTTGATGAAAATTATTATTGAAAAGTTATTACTTTGTTAAATAAATAACAGCATCGTAAATGAAAACTTTAACTCATTTTAATGAAAGGTGAAAAAGCTTGCACTCAAAACATTTTATAACATATATATTTATTTATTTTTAATTTACAAAAACTTAATTTATCGTAATGCCATTGGATGTACAATATTTTTAGTTAGTCCATGAGGAGTATAAACAAACAAACTCGATGGTTTTCCAACTCTGGAACACGCAACGTACAATTGGCCGTGAGAAAAACACGGATTTTCTAAATCTAAGCCACAAAATGTCATCGTTTGACCTTGTGACTTATTAATAGTCATAGCATATGCCAAACGGATCGGAAATTGTAAGCGTTTAAATGGTATAGGTGAATCTGAAGGAATCATTGGGATCCGCGGTAAAAGTACAATTTCACCTTGGAATTTTCCAGATAAAATATTCGCTTCAATAATGTTGCCCATGATTTTTTTTATAACTAATCGCGTGCCATTACACAATCTCGGGGCATTTAAATTACGAAGCAAAATTATAGGTGAGCCAATCTTCAGTCGCAAATTATGTGGTGGCATTCCAGGTAAATCTAAAGAATTCAAAAATTCTACTGGATAGTTGACCACTTCGTCAGGATCAACAACGGTGTCAATTGATTTAAATGTAATTTCATTACCAGGCAATGACTGTTGTATTTTAAAATTGATGGCGTCTACATCTAAATTTTTTGCAGCTAAAATAGCTCGCTCTCGTAGCCATTCATGATTAGTATAGTTATATCTTAAATCTGGAAAGATACTATTTATTAATTCATCTTTGGTAGCCACCATGTTGCAAAAGTTCTCTGGAAATTTAATAAATTGGGTATCTTCATACAGTTGAATTTTACCGTTGCCAATGTCTAACAATTGTTCAGAGAATCCTGACGCTAATGGATCATTTTGTAGTTGAACGCGCATATTGATAGTAAGGCTCAATTTACTGACACTCCGCCATAGATAAGATTCCTTCAAACATGCGTTTACTTCGTCTGCATATGTCGCACGTGGAATTACTGGCAATGTTTGCCTGAAATCACCAGACAGTAGCAGTAGAGCACCACCGAAAAGCCTAGTATTATCTTTGATATCCTTCAGGGACCTGTCGAGAGCTTCAAGCGAATGCTTGTGGGCCATTGTACATTCATCCCAAATAATAATTTTGCATTTTCTCAAAACTTCAGCCATGCCGGAATGCTTCTTTATGTTACACATTGCTTCGGGATTTGTATGAACATTCAAAGGTAACTTAAGTGCTGAATGCGCAGTCCGTCCACCATCAAGTAACGTCGCTGCAATGCCTGATGAAGCAATGGCCAATGCAATATGATTTTGTGATCGAATGCGCGCAAGTATCAGTGAGATGAGAAAGGTTTTACCAGTGCCACCTGGTGCATCCAAAAAAAAGAATCCACCTTGTTGTGTTGCAATTGATACGTTAATTTGATCATATACATTTCGTTGTTCAGCTGTAAGCAATTGTTCATTATTAGCAACAAAAGTAGCCAACGAAGTCTTATCAAACTGGTGTTCACGTTGAACATCACTGTTGATGATATCTACTGCTGGGCGGTTCGGCGCCGGCATGCCAAAATGGATGAGTGGCATGTTTGAAATAAGAATACAAATATCCTCAATCATAATTAAAGCCTCATTGTATATTTCTGCGGAGAATTGAATATCAGGATTTTGATTAGTAATTCTAATCCGATGCAAAATATCTTCACTCATTGAGTCTTTATATTTGTTCCAGAGAGCAGATGCTTCAGACGGAAAACACGTTGTTAATATTATTGAAAATAATTGACGAATTTGTTGTGGAGATGAGCTCAGTGCTGCATCTGCAAGTGTGAGATCCCAATGGTTATCATCCTCCAATAAATGTAACTCACGACACGCATCGAAGAAAGTGTCGTATAAAATACCATTGACTTTTCGTAAATATTGGAAGGATGTCGGTCCAAGAACATTAACCAATAACAAACGCAAAAAAAAACATTCGCGTTGCTTAGGATGAACTGTATATAGTCGACCTAAAGTATTTGTCATAAATATGTCGGCGAATCCTGTGACTGGAATCCCTCGTTTTCGTGGTTCCCAATTTTTCGATTGCTTATTCCATGTAAAAAATTTAGGAACATCAGTATACATTAATGTTTTTGCGAATTGACCAACAACATCTTGTCGATTACAAAGATTGAAAAATTCAGTAAGAGTTGTTTTTGGAGCCGTTAATGCTTGTTGTAGTGCAGTCTGTTCTGTAAAATAAACACGCTGTCCGTTTTCAAGATGCACAGCCAAATGTATAACTGCAGGATCCCTTTCATGTATAGGAAACGTAAAAATGCGCCAGACAGCTTCATTGCTACTTATGTATCGACCCATTTGATAACGTGTTATTTCGTCATTGTCATTTACATTTTGAACAGCAAATATAGCTTTATCACTGCCCTTGTGAACGTACTTACAAATGTATTTGATAGATTTCACCGAACTGCACAGTTCAACGTTTATGTGCGCTTTATAGGTTTTGCATAGTAATGGCGAATATGGAACCACCCACCGATTATCAATATCTACTCTTACACCGTTTGACAGTCGCAATTCATACGATTGACCGCCATTATCTACGTCCCTGCGCCGGTAAGATGGATAACCGTCAATATTGGTGGTAGTATCAGTTTGACATGGTTTTGGAAAACGTTTCGTACATTTTCCATCATTCATGCATGGTGACATCATGTTTAGAGTACCGCATGGACCATGAATCATATTAGTAGTAACAATGTTAAACAGTTCTTGATCAACATTCGGATCTGGAATTTCCGCTGAAATAATTTTGTCAATTTCTTCTGGGCGTACTTTATCCACCAACCAAATCAAAATATGCGCATGAGGTAAACCTCGTTTTTGCCACTCAACAGAGTAAAGCCAACAACGTGTTTCACCAAAAACCGAGTAATGTGTGATCAAATTCATCAAAGATTTTAATTTTTGTTTAAAGACACGCGCAGTGATATCGTGGCGATGCATCGATGTTTGACCTGACAACAGCAAGTTTTTGATTTCATCCCAATTTGGATTACATGTAAATGTGATAAAAAGATCTGGTCGACCGTATGCACGTACGTATGTCATAGCGTCTTGAATATATTCTTGCATATGACGCGGACTACCAATATATGATGATGGGAGAATATATGTGGTACCGATGTTGTTAATGACGTTTGTTGCATCTACATTACCGATTACTGCATCACGCAAATGAATATACTCTTCAGCTCGAAGTTTTGCTTGATTGAATTTTATATACCTTAATCTTTCACTTTCAATTTTTACATACATATCGACGATGTACTGATGAAATAGCTGTCTACAGCGGAGAATATTATTATCTTCATTAGCACGAATCATTAACCGATATGCGTAGAAATTCATGGCACTAACTTTCTTGGTCAGTTCTTCACCTGTAAATAAATGTAATTATGAGATAAACAAAAATTATTTATTCAAAAAAAAAATTGTAAGATAATCTATAAGTTGTACCTGTAGTTGGATTCCGTTGTTTAATATTTAAATGATATCCGTCTTCTCCTTCCCAAAATATTAACGGATACTGCAAAGCATCGTAAGAACGATGATTGTCTTGAATTATTTGCATCGTATTATCTCTGCGTTGTATGCGAATGTCTCTACGTTCACATGGGTCACCAGCCATAACAACTGCCACTTCATTAATGGTTGGAACATTATATGTGCCTGCGTGCTCTCCATAGGGTACTTTGTCTGCTTTAATAACAATGACATAGTTATCGTTTTGCAGTCTGTTAGAAAGAGTCTTGAACAATTGTACTAATTGGTTATGGTTTTGCAAAAACCTTTCCAAAATGTCCACAATTTCTCGTTCCTCCATCTGTTCTATATGGTTGTAAACGCAGCGTGTATGTGATTGTTGCTCTTCATTCCCCATAAAATAAATTTGTAAAAATTTTGGATCGGCATCAGGCATTGGAAGTAACGAACCAATTTGGTGATATACTTGGCCTTGAATTTTGAATGTGGATTCAAAATTACGGCCATCTTCATTATGAATAATTTTTGTTGCTGCAAATGATCTCATTTGGAAGCATGAATTTAATTTACGAATTTTCCGTAAAAATAATTTCGATTGAGATGTGATTCCAGCTAAAAGCGTTTTTAAAGGTTCTGGTGGTGGTTTTAGCGGTGGCAGTGATATTTTTCCAGATGCGCAACATAAACCAGCTGATTCACCTTTGTACTTGAAAGCATGACAATGTTGACACTCTTTGTCCATACTACCAATCGTGATCAATGCATGTGATGAATAATCTATTTCAGGATCATATTCAAACGCGAGACGATTAAGTGATGCTCGTGCCAATGCTCGATTATCTTGTACTCGCTGTTGGTTACGTTCTCTATGTGCGTTGGTCGCTCGTTGACGTGCCTCTCGTTGTCTTAATGTATTAGCACGAAGACGTTGAGCACGTTGCTCTAAATTTTCATTTGCACGTGTACATGCAGCTCGATCTCTTAAATTTACATTATCCATAGAATGTTCTTCTACTGTTCTATTCAATCGATGATCATGAACTAATTGCGCGTGCTGAGTACGTCGACCAATATTTCTTGCTCTTCCACGAAGACGTGGCATTTTTCTACAAAAATAAAATATTGCAAAATAATATACAATGAATATGAGTTACTTATTGATAATGAATTTTAAATTAATTAACTCAAAAGATTTATTATGACAAATTTTAGATAAAGAACATGTAATCGCATTTTGTGAGTTTTTTTATTTAATATCTCCAAAAATGAATTAATTGTCAATAAAAATAATTTAAAAAATTCAATCCTCTAACTACACAAATAAACTTGAAGGTTATGTTGGTTGTTAATAAACGCACGTGTAAATTAAAAAAGATAATTTATAAAAAATATACTCACTTCGATTCCGCACTAAATTTACAAAATGTATAAGTTATTTATATACACTTCAGAACTCTTCGAAAACTAATAAATATTTTAATTAGCAACTTCACTTGAATAACACAATTATAACACAAAATAACGAAATACTTTTTCAAATTGATCGTAGCACTATCTGTCGGGACAAACTAAAATTAAAATAGAATAATATTGAATGCGATGGTAGCGCCATCCGTCGAATCTGATGTAAAACATTCCAAAATCAAAAACTCCTTACAAATAAAAATTAATTAAAAAAACATCTGAATTCACAAAATTATTTATACACACTTCAAAACTCTTTAAAAAATAATTACATTTAATATTTTAATCAGCACATGAATTGAATAACAAAATTTTTTTCAAATTAATCGTAGCACCATCTGTCGGGACAAACTAAAATTGAAATAGAATAATATTGAATGCGATGATAGCGCCGTCCGCCGGATCTAATGTAAAACATTCCAAAATCAACAACTCCTTATAAATAAGAAATTAATTGAAAAAACATTTTCCAGTAGACCAAACTGTAAATCTAAACCATTCTCGAATCTCCACGAACACACACAAAAAATTTCATCAAAATTGGTCCAGTCGTTTAGGAGGAGTTCAGTCACATACACACGCACACAAGAAATATATATATTAAGATATATATTTTGATGTTCCATTCATAATGTTAGCTGATGTTTGTAATGTTTAATTTAGATAAAGTGTACGATATTTTGATAAGGGGGTGTGTTGAAATTGTATCAAAATATAGCTATTAATAATTGTATTAACTTAAGTATATTGTAAACTACTGGCAACATCTAATTTATGTTCTGCATCTGTCTATGCTGAATCTAATAAACTTCTTTAGTCTATGACAAGCACGCAACCGTTTATCATCAGTTCGTTTAGTTGGATTTGGTTTTCTTCATTATTCCATTATGTTCTATTTGTGCTTTGTGTATGAAACAGAGACATTAGACTTCCCTTAAGTTCTATTAGTAATTTGGTTTTGATTGGGTCTGTATTTATCTTTACATCCGAGCTTTCCAGTCCCATAATCAATGGCTTGTATATCTCTGACAAACCAGCCAACATTAAAGTCCCTAACCATTCATCATGTATGGACAAATCTGTATTTCTTAATTTATGTGCTGTGGTTATTTACTAGTTAAGATATTCCTCAATACTTGAACAACTATCTAACGTTGAAATAACTCTCTTAATAGACCGACTCTCCTTGTTAAGCCTGAAACTTAAAATGCTTTCTGTAAATTTAGCCACACCTCAGTAGAAGTCTTCGCGTGTTGGACATGTGTGTAATTTATTACACTGGGTCCACAAGTAAAATGATTTTCGTCCTAGTTTTGAGGTCGAGTTTCGGATTTACCGGAATTCTTTCGGAAGGTTCAACACAACTCCATAGGTCTTCATGTTGTAAATATGTCTGTACTGCGAATTTCCATGTACTGTAATTCTCTCTTCCTAACAGTGTGTCATTATGAATATTATTAGACATAGCCATTTTAATTCAGTGTAAATTTTTACATGTAATGCCAGCTATGCTAACCAAAAATGCAGAAAAATCACGAACTACGCACCGCGTGAATTTAACAAACGAATACTCTACTTTTATTTTTACAATCGGATCTGCTTTTACTGAATTTATTACATTTACGGCGACCTGGGCTTATAATATGGTGAAATAAAGTAAGTTTATTGATTAAACTAGTAATTTAATAAAGTATTAAATATTACAATTATTGTACATCCAACGGTTACAACAAGACGAGAGAGAGCGAAACAAAAATACAAACGCGAATGGGCGCTTGAGTGGTACCATAGATAACAATATAAAAAGGATGCGTTTTGGTTTATGGCTATATTCAAATAGAATGAAACAAGAATAATAGAGCGTTTGTTGGAATAATAAAATTTAAACCTATTTTCAGCTTTATTAGTAAATCTATGTATATTTTCTCTCACTCTCTTCTATACTCTGTGGTCATTGCGTTAAGTATTGCTAATTGTAACTCTGTTTAAAATTAGAGATTATTCATAACAATATTAGTTATTTTACTAAAATAATATCAGGTTATGGGTCCAGTAAGCCCGATAAATAAAATCAACATAAAAAGTTTACAAAATATATAAGGGAAACAGTTTTGCAAAAGACATAACCTACAAAAAAGTGATCAGTTTTCGGAACTAAGAAATTGAGTTGTACTTAAAATTTACAGTCATAAAGTAATCAACTGGCTCTGAGTTTGGGAAAATCTATCACGTGCTTGCGATGACTCCGGGCTAACATGCCGAGTTGGTCTGCTAAATGTAGAGGAGTACGTCAGTAAAATAATGACAACAGCCCTTAAGTTAGTTAACAGTTAACATTGGCTTCACTGTAGATGACGAATGGCTAGGCACATTATTGCTATCCGGCCTGCCAGAAAGTTACAAGTCAATGATAATAGCCATTGAGAGTTCAGGTATGAGGATTTCCTCTGACTCAGTGAAATCAAAAGTATCATAAGATGTCAAACAAACAGAAAGTGATTCATCAGTGTCATGTCATCAGTAAAAAGTTTCAAAACAAAAATAAACAATTTTCTAAAGGCCCCCGATGCTATATATGCAACAAATATGGCCACAAAAGCAGCGAATGAAAATTAACAAAATATAAGAATCAGAAGACTACAAATAAACACAATACTTAATGTAGTGTTTGTATCTATTAAGTACCGTACAAGTGCTTGCATGTGTCAAAAGGATTGAGATCTATAGAATGAAAGGAATTAGATGAATTTTAAGGTCGCCCCATTACAATCAAACGTGGCAAGTCAACTACCGCCACCTGCATAAAATGGCCATCTTACATTTGCTCGATCCGGGTATTCTCCAAATAAATTGATTTGCCCTTCCAGTCTATCGGCAGCTGGGATATCCCATCTTGCGAAATAAGTTCTGATGTTACCAAGGGGGAGGCAATCAAAATGCCATTGCTGGAGTGGCTGATTCCTTGGTCTGTTTGGAATACGTAAATCCTCTAGCTCATTACTTATAAAGAGCGAGTTGTTGCCAGTACTTTTAAAATCCATTGTTCCAGAAACCATCTTTGGAACATGTTTCTGAAGCTTAATTAAAAATGGTTGGATAGTTCGAATCTCTCGCTGCAAATCGTCGAGAGTGTATCCTTCTGGCATAATTTCGTCAGGGTTTGCCAAAACATGATTCTCAAAAGTAGCGCCAGGAATTGGGTTATGTTGCTCAAAGTAGGTTCGAATCCTCTCTGGAGTTGCTGGGTTAGCAAGCGCAACAACTGTGTCTCGCAGATTCGAATACATAACTGTTTCCGGACGAGGGACGAACTCACCGTCTCTGTTTGTGAGGTTATCCATCACAGCGGGAATGTATACAACTCCATCACGTACTATCATCACATCACTACGTAACTATTCCCAAAGCGTTCGTCATTTTTACCATAGGAGTAGGGGCTACCGTAACTGTCTTTGCTAAATGTTGTAGCCTTGGATTCGCGGAATATGAATATACTGCCTCTGAATTGCGCACGACAAGAGGATAGTCTGATTTCAGACCCTCAAGTTTAGCTTCGGTCGTGGCAAGGAAAATGCGATACAAACTGTAACAGGATGGAGGGATGATGTTCTCGTTAATTGAAATCGTAGTAAACATAACTTGACAGATCCCAAATCCTATCCCACGAGTAGTGATGCTAAGTGTTATTGCTTTTAGTTGTTGTGTTTCGCCTAAACGAGCGAGAGCATCATCTACACTAGATGTTCCAACAAAGAGCTTTTTCTTTAGCTCTTCTTGATAAAAGCATCAGCGTTTTGCGTAGATTTTTCTTTTCGAAAATTTTCCATTCTAGCATTAGAACGCTGCTTTCTGTTTGACTTTTGTTTATTTTGATGGACAAGTTGATTCTGAGTAAATCCGCGTTGACCTTTCTGGTCAAAATCTCCTCTTTGGTTGTGATTCAAAGTTCTCCAAGAACCCGTAGGTTGGCCGTAGCCGGTATGATTCTCAAAATTCATCTTATAAGCTGGTATGAAGATTGAGTCGTCGGAAATCCAGACGAAAATCGCAAAATCGTGTGGGGATGGATCCACATCATTCTTAAGTTAAATCATTCTATCAAAGAACACGACGGACTTCCAGAAGGTTATGATAGAAGAATTCTCATCTCATTGAAGTTTTCATCAGTTTACGCCGGATGAAAACTGTTCTACACCTAGTCAATCGCTAGGTTCTCAAGACTTAGCACCTCTCTTGCACTGAGAGCGTGCACCAAGTTCTTCTTATCAATAGATCCAAATCCATTGTTCCACTCTACATCTTCCAAACGGGCATACTTATAATCTCCATGGCTCAGGACCTTAATCATAGTTGGATCGGAATACTCAAGATCTGGTTTGAAATACGAAACGCCAGGTTGACGGACGGCCACTTGACCGTCTAGGTACATCTCAAATCCAGACTTTCCAGGATTGTATTCTTTTGAGTCCAGTCCTCCTCTGTCTGCTTTTGCCAATGCCATATCTGAGAAGGCCAGCACGAAGGCAACGCACTTAGGAACTTCCTCTCCTTGATCTCCAAGTGAATGCCATTTCACAGAATGCTCCTGAAGAGTTGGGCTCCAAGATACTGAGACCGGTTTATGCATCGGTCAGATGACGGAACCAGGTTGTTTCATTATGTTGTCAAAATCCGTGGGGAGATCGGCTTTCGATTGGTGTGCGTCCATAGGAACAAGCGCACATGCGTATGACCCACCAACGATAGAAGCGTCGACTATTGGTGTAACGGTTGCTTTAATCCATAATATTTTTGCCTGTTCAAAAGGCACCATAACATCATCTCCATGTCGAGTTGCTATTGGAGTTGTTGTCAAAAGAGTTCTGGTTGTAATGGGAAAACACGTTCCAGCTCCAGTTATAGCGAAGTTCAAAGACAACGCACTCTTTTCTGCTGCCAAGAAGACGCCAACAAGTTGTAAGGCTAAGCTGCCAAACCACTGAAGCTTATCAAGCCACCAGCTGCTATCTGGAGCAGGCTTATCGGGCAAAGGCTTCGCTCCACTTGAGGGGTAGGCAATCAATCTTCTTGCGAAACTAAGGGCAAGGTTGCTATATCCCGGCTTTCTCGGCCGGAAAACTGCCGAATTGCGGATGTTGAATATACGTTTACTGAGGTAGTTACCGCGAGCACGACGATTACGGCGAGGAGTACGACGACGGCGACCTGCAACCCTTCTTGCCTGTCGGTACATCTTGCTGATTCGTCTAAATTCGTTTCAATTTTGATTAATGAAGTTTAAATATTTTATAAACAATCAATCTTCTCTTATTTATTTCGAAGCCACCAATATTACGACTGCTGTAAAACAGAGAGCTATACTGTTAGTCCTAGGTAGAAGGGCACTGCAAGAAAATTTTATAATTTGCCTGGGGGATATGTAGAACCTGAAAAAGATGTAAATGTTTTTGAAGTAGCTATCAGTAAACTGGATGAATATTTCCTTGCTAAGCAAAATACGACATTTGAACGACATGTTTGCCGGCTAATATAATAAGATGAAGGTGAAAGTTCCGAGAAATTTCTTATTAAGCTTAGGGGACAGGCAGCGAGGTGTAAATTCGATAAACCTGATGACCATTTAACTGACCAGATCTTAGAAAAATCTTTATCGTTGGAGTTGAGGAAAAAACCTTAGACAAAGTTATTACAACCGCTAGTATCTTAGAAATTGTAAATGATCAATTAGATAATGACGAACAAAAAAATAAGGATAAGACAAATTAAATTAATGCAATAACAAGTAAACAAGGAAACAAATACTGAGACAGAAAGTAGGAAAGAAATCTATTATTGAAGAATCAGTGGGAGGTAATATTACAATATGGAACGAAGAAACCGAACAAAGACTACGAAGGAATGTGATGCATCTAAAGCAGCATCTATACTCAACCTGCGGCCCGCGGGCCGTATGCGGCCCGCCGGGTCTTTCTTATTGGCCCATCTGAAGTTACATCTCAGAGTTGGTTTCCGTTTTAAATTGTAATTACTCAGAGTTGTTTGATAAGGTCATCGATTTTGAAAATGATACCAATCTAGAACTTCTGTTTAAAAAAAAAGGAAAAATAGAGAATATGTGGAATTTTGGAGTATTGTTCTCCAAAAATATAAAAGCGTCCAAAGATGTGCCCAAATCCTACTAACATTCTTTGGGTCTACATACGAGTATGTATGCAAATCGTCTTTTTCAAAAATGAAATGCAGAAAGAACGTTTACAGAAACAAACTTACAGATTCTCATCTGGATGATGTTATAAGGATAGCATGTAGCGACAAGCCAGATCTTGATAAAGTTTTGAAAAAGTGTTCATAGTATCGAAAATCGCGTTAAAACATATAAACATCTTTGTTAAAACAGTAACTACATCTTTAACTTGGAATTACGTTTTAATTAAGACCTGAATAATTTTTGCTTGTGGCCTTCGACACCATGACTGAAACGTGTTTGTGGCCCCTATAAAAAAAGGTTGAGTATGGCTGATCTAAAGCGTGTAGAAGGTCGATGGAAAACGGTAACGGATCAAATAAACTAAATTAAATAACACATTGTAAAATAATGTTTAATTAGGTTACTACAGTTGATTGATTGTATAGTTCAATAAAAATAAAGAAAAATGATGACAGTTGATTAGGTACGTCATAGATTAATATAAATAAAATTTGTTAAAAAGGAAGGGATGTAGTGTCTGTATCTGTTAAGTAGATATAATACATTGTCTCATACACACCGAAAGAGGGCGTAACTGTCAACGTCACCCGACCGGGCAGGCTGTCGTAGACGCGGTGCGAGTGGGACGTGCGCTTGGATATGTGTGTAATGGTGAGCCAGTGATAAACTTGTAGTTATGAGTAATTTAATTTACTACTATATGTTAATAAAAGAATGATAGAGGCAAGAAAGAAAGATTGAGAGGCTAAATGAAGACTGTTATTCTTGTACTTTACGAAAAGAATTTAATAACTTTTTACAAACAATTAGAACACGAAATGTATAAATTTTTAACACAAAATGATCGCTAGAATAATGAGAGGAATTATTCGTCCGCGCGCCTAGATCGTTGGCGAGTTGAGTGCCGAATGAATTACGATCAGGCGACTGCAGCGGCGACGCGGCGCGGGCGCAGCGGGGGAAACGCGCTATTGTATTCCTTTGGTGGCGTGATTTCATAACGTGGCCCAAACTTCATAAGCGCAGCGGATTGAGGCTGGGCGCAATTGTAGCGAGTCACGCCACAAACTTATACATAGTGAGGTTTACCTGTTGTGGTAAAGATCACTACACTTCATCTTATGCCGCTGTCTTTATAGCTTCTTCTGAATACTCCGATGCCTGGTACATTGATTCTGGTGCCTCTGTACACATGACCAAACAAAAATTTGCTCAAAGAAGAAACTACTCTACATATTAAAAGCATTAAAGTTGCAAATAATAAAATACTACCCGTTCAAAGCTCTAGAAAAATAAGCTTGAGTGTTCATGATGAAAAAGTCCAAAAAAATGAAATTCTGTTTACAAATGTATTATATGTACCTGAACTAGCTACAAGCCTGCTATCGGTAAGTCAAATTCTATTTTTTTCCGCACAATTTTGATTTATCAGATCTTAGCAAACACAGCTATGTCCAATAGAAAATCTACTTTAAAGTAGGCTGTAAGTATCAAACACCGCAAAGTCCATCATAGTTTAATGCAAAAACCGCAAAGTCCCGACTAGCCAATAGCGATCCACGATTTTGATCACGTGATATACCAAACTGTTATGTCGGCAGCTTAGTTGTTGTTGTGTTTTTGTCGTTAAAAAGTTAATATTTTTATTAGATTTTGTGTTGTTTTAAAAGTAAATATGCTATCTTTACGAAGATGGGTTTAACGCCGACCCTTATGGATAAGGTCTGGTCTGAAATTAAAACTTCTGGCCTATACACACAATATACACAAAAAAGAATCATGTTCTTGTAATAGTATAAACTACTTTAGCTAATCCTTGTAAATGGCAACGACTGCGGGTCTGTGACTAAAGAAAGAAGGGAGTTTTTGGGACTAGAGAAAGGACTTCGACGCGATTGATTGGCGTCTCTTTCTCAACAGGAAAATGTTAAACGCGAACGCACGGGTTCTGATAAACGAAACTATACAATAAAATATTTTATCAATGAAAGAGAAGGTAGAAGAAGCCGCCTGTTATCGTTATTTTTGACGATCATCCGTATCGAAAAAAGTATTACGATTTATAACGATTCTTAAAACTAGTTTGATGTAATTTTTTTCGAGACAAGGATGCAAGACAATATCGATGTTTGCGCTGGCAACACTAATGACAGCCATCTTTCATATTTTTGAGTTTTTGACGTTTGACACTGACATTCACTGTTGCCACTTAAGCGACTTTGTCGCTAAATCTAACGAGTTTTATGTTAATTTAGGGAATTCAATTCAAAGTCATAAACGACAAAAAATATTCTAGTGACTTTTGGCGACATTTGCACAATCTGTTTCTTCAATTTTTGTTACCATCTGACAACTTTAGGCGTAAGGAAAAAATTAGGAAAAAAATTAAATAAAAATATAATTACAGTCGAACAAACAATTTGAGTACCAACAATAAAAAAAATATCTATCGAATGCGCTAACTTAATAAAAAAAATTGTTTAATTTTTTAACAATAAATGTTAATCGAACAAATAATAATATTTGACGAACAAATAAGAACAAACGACGAACAAACGATTTGTTTAAATAAAAATAGTAAAAGCAATTTTTCAGTCGCCAGGTTCAAGGATCTGCTGGCTTACTCTTGAAACTGATTCGAATTTGATTTTGTTTTTGATTCGAATTCAATTTTGATTCGAACTCGATCCGGCTGCCTTACTCCCGAACCAAATCGAAACAAAACCGAGATCGACTTACGTTCGAGTGTTATCAGCGCCGTTAACTGTATCCGGCTGCTGTGAATCTATGGTCAAATTCTTTTTAATGTAAAAAAAACGTTATATAATTAGCTTTTTTCGTTTAAAATGATTCCCTAGTATTTTAATAACAATTTTTAAGATTATATTTAAATTATTTTAGGCATTCTAAAATAATTTATTTCGTGATTAAACTACAGACAATAATGATTGGTTTAAATATTGATTCTGTAGTAGCTTTAAACTATTTATTACTTATTACTATGGCAAAGAGGTGTCAACTGTCACAGCGCTACATTTCAAAAGTTTGTATTGGTGTTTTATGTATTAAAATAATAAGTAATAATATTTTTTAAGCCACTAAAAAGAGAAAAAATGATAAGTGATGACAATATGTATTGGTGTATAAAAGTACGAGTTATTCTTTGGTAAGTATAAGTATATTATTTGTGTATATTAAAACAAATATGCGTTACATCTATATGATGTCCGTACAGTAATGTATTGGGTATAATTATCCCTAACTGTTATAATATGGTTACAGATTCAAGAGAGAAGAAGGGAAGATATACAAACCCACTCTACGAGAAGGGTAGAAAGTAGCAGAAACAATAAAATTCGTCTAACACTATGAATTGGTTGTATCAAGTGTAAAATAAAAATGTTTATTACAAATGCGTTTTTTATTACCATGTAAATAAAACATTAATTTAAAAACTAATGTCTATTGCATCGCAATATTTGGATAAGATAATGTCACTTGCTCTATCTATTTTCGAAACTGTTTATTTCTTTCTTCTTACAGGACAATTGTCTGTTGCATAAATTATTATTTAAAGGCATATAATAATAATAATAAAATAAAATATATAATAATAATAATCGTGCCATGAAAGGGTGCTATCAATGTATATGCCTAAATACTTGGTTTGATTGGGATTATTAATACTTCTGCAATTACAAGCGACATTTCTATTGCAACTTGGATTATGAATAAAAATTTTAACGGGGGGAGACGGAAGAGAAATACTGCTAGGAGCAAAGGTTTATAAAATTCGTTTTATCTAAATTTAAAGTTAAACTATTTTTGCGTAACCATTTATTGACAGCAGATAATGCAGATTCAGCGTATATTGTAACTTCAGCCCAATTTTTAACGTTAACAAGAAGAATTGTATCATCGGCATATGAGATTATTTTACACTTTTGTAAATTCAGTTTGGACAATTCATTTACATAAATGAGAAAAAGAGTTGGCCCAAGGACACTGCCTTGAGGTACTCCAAAATCTATATTTTCCTCTGCACTCATAACACCATCGATAACAACGCATTGTGAACGATTTTCGAGGTAGCTCTTAAAAATATCATTTGCAACTCCTCGTACACCCACCTGGTGTAATTTCTGAAGAAGGTTAAGGATGGAAACAGTGTCAAATGCTTTTGTTAGATCCAAAAATATACCAATAGTTTTTTCTTTCGTAGTGAAATTTTTTACTAAAGAATTTGTTAAGTCCAAAACAGCATCTTCTGTAGATTTACCACTCCTAAAGCCATATTGATTAGCCGCAATGATAATAGGTTTATTCAAATACTTAACGAGTCTAGTATTTAAAAGTTTTTCGAATATTTTAGATAACGTAGTTAGAATCGAGATAGGCCTGTAGTTACTGACAATGTTTCCATCACCGCCTTTATGAATTGGGTGAACCAGAGCTTTTTTAAAAACTTTGGGAAAGATACCGGATTCAATCGCCAAATTAAAAATATGGACCAGCATTGGTATAAAGATATGTCTAGCCGACTTTACCAGCGAGGTAGGTATACCATCCCATCCTGTCGCTGAGGTATTCTTAAGATTTGTTATGGCATTTTCAATTTCAGTATAGTCAATGCTATATAGGTAGTGAGATAGATGACAAGGAAGCAGTTGTGATATATAAGCTATCAGGTAGGACTGGATCATTAAAATCCGTAATTTGCGTGGCTATATTTCTGCCAACGCTAGCAAAGTACTCGTTAACAGCTGAAACTGCCGAAAATGGTTCATCAGCTAACATAAAAAGGTCTGTAGATGCTTTAGATGACTTTTTGAAATAGCCTACATTTTTTATTAAATCCCATGTAGCTTTGGCATTATTTTTAGCTTTTAGGAAGTTATTATGATCAAATTCTTTTTTTATTCGTTTAAGAAGGTTATTGCAAAAATTTTTGTACCGATTATAAATTATACAGAGTTCGGTATTTTCTGGGTTTTTCTTGGTTTTTCTAAAAAGTTTATCACGGTTTCGGATGCATAGCAAGAGCCCAGGTGTAATCCAGGGCTTTAGGATTCGCGTTTTACTAGTTACAGTTATTTCTCTGGAGTGGGTTTTAACAATTCCAGAAATAGCTGTTACAAGTGTTGTCGCCGCCCGTTCCAATCCGTCACGACATGTCATATATATGTATCATTAATCCTTGCAAAGATACGGTCGCAACAAAAAATTGCATTGGCAATTGCATATTCTTCTCCGCAATTTAAGCCCACCTAAATTATGCAACGGTACACGTTTAGTCATCAAGAGGATCACCGAAAATATTCTTGAAGCAATAATTTTGACTGGAAAGTTTAAAGGAGAAATCGTCATGTTGCCGCGAATTCCATTAATAGCGTCAGAATCTCCAATACCATTCAAAAGGCTTCAATTTCAGATTCGTTTAGCTTTTGCGATGACCATAAATAAATCACAAGGTCTGTGGCCTGTTGATGTGTGGGAAAACCATCAAATTTGTTTGTATTAGCAAAAGACAGGTTAACCAAAAATGTTATGCACAAAATAGTGTTGAGATAATTGTCAATTTTATTAAATTAAATTTCTTTTTAAATGGAAACAATTGGTCAAAATCAATGTTATCTACCTTATATCGCTCCTTAAATACAAAAGTCACACATTTCAAAAAATATCAAAAATGATTTTTTTGCATAAAATGCACCTTAAACTTTGAAACTTTAATGTTTTGCTAAAACAGCCGTCGTTTTATGATCAAAAACACCCGTAAACGCACACACGTTAGTTTTGTTTTGTACCGTTTCTGTAACAGAGTTCCGTGTAAAAGTACCACATTGTCAGTTGTCAATAGTCATTCGGCACGAGCGCACGCATTTTTTGTGAAAAACTACCACATTTCAAACAACTGCTAAAAGACAGGTGAAATTATATATTCAAAAGTGCCACATACAAAAATATATTGGTATTGCAGATCACATACACTTAAGTATCTTATTATTTTTATGTGCAATAGTACAATATTTCGAAATAGGTTAGTTTTGCAAAAAAAAATTAGAATTATTTTCTTATTTCTGTATGCTACAGTACCATATTTCAAAATAGGTTAGGTTTGCATTTATTAATTGATATTTTCTATTATTTTTGTATGCAATACTACCATATTTCGAATTATGTTAGTTTTGCAAAACATAATTAGAATTATTTTCCTATTTCTTTATGCTAAAGTAACGTATTTCGAAATATGGTATCTTTGTATTTGAAAGTGATCTCTAAATAGATTTTATTTTAAATTAAAAAGCATTTTTTGTTTTTATGTTTGTGTTATGTTTTTGTAGTTTTTGGTTGATACAGGTAGGTACTTATTTTTCTAAAATTAATTTTTATTTTCAGAATGACAACAAGAGCGCACCGTATTTTTAACATGGTACCACCTATAAATGACCCTCGAGATGGACAGCAATCTCCGTCAACTTTCGGACTTAGTGAAATGGATTCAAGTGTCATTCAGACTGACAATATTATGTATCATGAATATGAGACTGATGACGTTAATTCTCTACCGGACAGTCAGTTTTCTTTAGATATTCTGAAAACCGGTGAAGATAACGAAGATATTCAAGCAACGCCTCCAAAACACAGAATATTCAATAAACCATCTTTAGTCATCCAAGAAACAGACTCAGACAGTGACACTTACTCTGATGAATCTTCTACCTCGTCGAGCAGTTCTAGTTCTTCAAGTTCTTCAAGCTCCAGTTCTACAAATAACCTAAAAGATTTCTCTTCCGATGATAGTGTCAAAGATCCTACGTATGAAGATCCATTTTCTGAAAACCGTAAAGGCCAGTCAGATTCCGATGAAGAGCAACAACCACAAGCACAGTTACCTAGCATTCAAGACTTTCCGCAATCAGCCGTTAATAACCAGCAGTTATTTAATATTAATTCACCATCACCCACAGTTGATGATCAGCCACCTAGCGTTGACGAGCACCCATCTAGCGTCGGCGAGCAGTCTCCTAGTGTTGATGTTGAATCACGCAGTAGGTGTCGTAAAAGAAAAGCAGAACCGCTCTTATGGAAACGAAACCAGAGCAAGCTATTAAAAAACAAAGGTATGTCCTATACTTCTATGTCCAAGTCTAAGAAAGTTTATGATGCCAATAAAATGGGTCCTGTATGTTTCGGTAAATGTAAATTAAAATGTTCTACAGAGTTTACGTTTGAAGAAAGAAAACATATCTTTGAAAAGTTCTGGGAGTACGGTGATCTGGAAATCCAATGACAATTTATTCACGATCACATGACCAAGATAAAACCAAAATATAGATACGTTCGTGAAGGTAGCAATCGAAAAAATTACAATCATGCATTTTATCTGACTCGAAATAATAAAAAAACTCGGGTATGTAAAGTATTCTTCATGAATACTCTTGCAATCTCAGACATTGTGATCAGAACCGTTGTCAAGAAGCAGTCCGAAACTGGTGTGCACCTTAAAGATAACAGGGGAAAACATAAAAACCATAAGACACTAGACTCAGAGCTGACCGATGGTGTCAAAGCACACATAAATTCAATACCCCGCATAGAAAGTCATTACTGTAGGGCGCGATCGACTCGGGAGTATATTGAGGGCGGGCTTACAGTCGCGGCACTACATCGACATTACGTAGACAAATGCGAATCTGAGGGTGCACCACACGTTTCATATCAAGTATACTACAATATATTTATGCATGATTTTAACTTATCTTTCTGGCAGCCTAAGAACGATCAATGCGATGATTGCATGGCTTACAAAAACGCTGAAGATAAATCGTTACTACAAGAGACATACGACGAGCACTTGAAGCAAAAGACTCTCGCTAGAGCTGAAAAAGATAGAGGTAAAGAGCTTGTGAGTAATGCCTTCGTAGTCGCTGTGTACGACCTCCAAGCGGTGATGCCTTGTCCACGGGGTGCTGACGTGTCTAGTTTCTATTATACGTCTAAATTAAATCTATTTAATTTCACAATAACCGAGCTCGGTACAAAGGCCACAACTTGTTTTGTATGGCATGAGGGAGAAGGCGCCCGAGGTATTAATGAAATATTCTCCTGTGTTCTAATGTATCTAAGAAAATTGAATGATAATGCCACGGAACCTTGTGATGTCACTTTCTATAGCGATAATTGCTGTGGCCAACAAAAGAACAAATTCATGCTGGCAATGTACCAATATGTGACTCAAGAATTGCTGAACATCAAGAGTATTACTCATAAGTTTCTAATAAAAGGGCACACCCAAAACGAAGGAGACTGTGTTCATTCTGTCATCCAACGTAACATTACGACAGCATTGAAATCATCTCCAATTTACGTTCCAGACCAGTATATCACTCTGATTAAAACAGCAAAGAAAACTGAAAAGCCTTATACTGTTGAAGAATTGACACATGAGAATTTTTTTGACCTCAAACCTCTGTGTACAGGAAACTAAAACATAGATGAGGATGGCAATAAATTCAAATGGACTGATATAAAGATTCTGAAAGTGGATAAAGTAAGCAATGGCATATTTTTCTTTAAAACATCGTACGAAGAGGAAGAGTTCAGGTCGGTATCTACGTTGAGAAAACGCCGCACTAAGTCGAAGGCAGTGCCCGATAATAATTTGACCCTAAACCAACTTTACACTGAAAAGCTTACAGTTCCTGAAGCAAAGAAGCAAGGCATTTTAAAGCTAATCCAAAAAAACATCGTGCCAAGATTTTATGAATCTTTTTATGCTAATCTCTAAATTAGTGCATAAGTTACTGTTGGTTACTGATTTTTAATGTTTTATTTTAAGTTTTTTTATACCTGTACGAGCATTACGCTCCATGTAGTTTTAAGTAAACGTTTTATAAAAACATTTTTGTAAGAACACTATTTACACCACGTTTATGTGCTTTATACGGTTGTGATTAGTGTACATCATGGAAATAATTAATTATGAAGGTGTCTTACTCCTTAAGCGCCTTATTTTATAAGAATATAACTGCTAATACTATTTTAAAGATAAAGTTACCTCTGTTTCTCAAACGTAATGTTATGGACACAGTTGATTAACTTAGCTTTAATATTTCATTTAAATAGTAGCAAAGGAGTAATTATCTTACCGAAACTCAGTGGCGAAATAAGGTTTTATTTAACTGCGAGACACTATTTAGATACGAGTCATTATAGACAGCTAATTTCGTTTAATTGATAAAAATTTTAGGAGTGTTTAGACAGCTTAATATTAGGTACCTGCATTCCACAAACCTGTAATAAGTAAGCTAATACAGCTTTTCAGAGAAGATACTCAATGTTTATTGTGTTTACGTAGGGCGTGTCTACCCGGCACATTTCAAAACATAGGTTATGTCCTGTAACGTAGAAATTACTCTAGTTTCGTTTTAGGTAAGGTAAAACAATACAAAATAATAAGTATTACTCTATTTAAAAAGTCTGATTTAATCGTGATTTTAGCTTAAAAAATTTAATTATTAAAGTATAGTTATTTTTTAGTTATTGTTTATTTAATCGCTAGTTACGTTAGCTACAGTCTGATGGTCGAAAAAAACCAAAAACTAATTTAAACTAATTTATTTTAAAATTACAAATTAAACTTATTATCTAAATTTAATGTCCAACCTACTCGATGTAAGTTTATGGAATGTCACTAAACAATATGTAAGATTTAAAGTATCCGAAAACTGCAACTCTGCATTCCCGTCCCGATGTCGATATTCTGTTTATTATTTCAATCGTGGGAATTTAATGTATAAGCGATTCACTTGGAACACCTGTATGTAACTCCTCCACCCTCAGATCAGCACCTATTTTAGAACATTGAGATAAAATGTAGCTGGCATCTTCCTGCGTGGCTCCGATGTCCCTGTTTCATCCAATTGTTCACTAACGTTATCATTTGAAATAGAAGTTGTAGCTTCGTTATGGCTTTTCTAGTCGCAATGGTGTTTCTTGAACAATTTTATCTTGAAGACTGTAGAGTTGGGTGAATTCCGTAGTTTTCATATAGCACTTTACAGGTATAGTGATTAAGTAGCTGCCCTGGAGCGATGTGAATTCTTCTTTGTCACAAACTAGTTGTACCTTGGTGACATGGGGAAAGAAGAATACATAATGATGATCATCTAGTTTTTCCATTGCTTCCTTTGCTAGAGTTACTGTGGTGTATTGGCAGTATTCCTTTAGGACTTGATGAACGAATGCGTTGGTTCACTTCCCTTTCACAGAGGTGCCAGTTTTTGAGCTTCGGACATTCTGTCTGCATGTACAAGAACGACTTCTCATTAATTGCTATGAAGGGATATGGAGGTATAAGGGTGTTTTGGACTTTATTAGGTACAATGGAAAGTTTATAGAGATCGTAGATATCCGCAGAAACTATTGGAAATTTAAAAATTATCACTTACTGTTTCTCTGTAAAATAGCATCCCGGTTTTATAATATTGTAATATTCTCTATACTCTAAATCTAAAATTTGATCCTTATTATATATATATATATATATATATATATATATATATATATATATATATATAGTACCTGGGCGACCGAGCTTTGCTCGGAGTTTTTGGCCGAAAAAAAAAACATTAAAAAAAACAAAATAAGAATTTGAATAAATACAAAAAAACAAAATTAAAAACTTTGTGTCCGACCGGGATACGAACCCAGATACCTGTGGTTGTCAAACTTGCGCATTGGCCGCTTGACCATGATGCTTATACCTGAGCGTGCGAAATTATCGAACATAATATTTTGCGTGGAATTATTAATTATTAATTTATTGAAATAATGCAAAAGAAATCATAATAATAATAAAGCTCTATTTATTTATTCATTTTTTTATTATACAGGCTTACTTACTAAATTTACATAAAAACATTTATTTAACATTATAATTTTACCTATCTGTATATAAATTTAATATAAAAGTATGCACAGCTTTTTATAAAAGTATTCCATTAAAATTTTATTTGGTTAAGAGTAATAAGGAGATAAATAAGGAGCCATTTTAGTTGTACAATAAAAAAATGTCTTTAACACATTGCTGAAATATAAAATTATATAATTTAGTGACTATTTATTAACTTATAATTTTTTAACTAATAATTTTGTAATCTGGAATTAAATTATTTTAAAAATCTTCATATTATTTGAAATGATATTGTATATATATAAATTATCATTAACAAATAAATAAATAAACAATCACAATAAATTGAATAATTCAATTGAGTAAATACTAAACATTTCACAATAATAAATATAAATAAAATTTCTTTCCATACATTAATTCTGACAATAGTTATAAATTAGGTATTTAATTTCATAATTAAATGTATTTATTTAGTAAATGTCTTTTTCATGTAAAGACCCCTCTCGATTAAAAGCCTTCTCCAAAGTAGTCCTGCATAGAGCTCTCCGTTGGAGATTATGCTTGTATGATTGCAAAGGGTTTCTTTTCAAATTTTGTTTTCAATATATAATTTGTTTCTGATATGCCTATAAAGTTTATAATTTTATCTTTGTGTTCTTTTGATTTGTTGTAGGGAATGCTGCTTTTAATTCTAGAAGTTTAAGCTAAGATATGTATACCTTTGTTCATTGTATGTCTGTTTTTCTTTGGAGGGTTACGGTCGAACTCCCCCACAGTGACCGGCCGTACTGGTGGATAAAGATGAGGAGGTTCCTACGGTGTTTAATATACTGTATCTTGCTGTGTTGTTTTTAGTTGTTCCTGGTTATCATTTGTGTGGTTGAAAGTTAATTTTGGTTTTTGTAATATAAAGTCTTTTATATTACCAGGTATGGTTGTCTTTGTATGTTGTTTATTTGTTAGTTTTTGTTTATAATTGAGGTAAGGCGTTTCTGGAGATACAGGCAGACTTCTTTTTTATTTCCGTTTAGTTTAAGACTATTTTTTCCTCTAGTTCATGATAGGATTTTTCACCTTCTTCTACTCTGAACATAACCAAGTTCTTGCGCCTAATATGTCTTTCTAAATTATTTGAGGTACTTTGTTCCTGGATTTTTTTCTCAAGAACTTCAATTTTTATTTCTAACTGTTTAAATTTCTCATTTAAGTATATTATTGTTGATTGTATTTTTAATGTCTTCTTTCATTTCTAACATTTCTGTTTTCTGCTGTCTTATTTCTTGTTGCATGTTTATTAGCAACTTTTTTATGTCCTCCATCTTAAGTGAGAAGTTGAAAGTAGAAAAGCTGATTGAAAAAGAGCACCAATTATACCTAGTTGAATTGCAATTTTATACCGAGTACCTATTAGTTTTTGAGGTTATAAACTTATGTTTTAATATTTGACGCTTTCACTTCACAAATTATTTTGTTTTATTGTCATCACACACAGAAAAGATGGTTTTGCACTGATAGTATCTTTAAGTTATCTTTGTCACTTTTGTATTTGTTTGGTAGATGAGTTTTTAAAAGCACATTTGTTCTTCAACACATCAAGACTTGGTGATGTTTACATATTGCCCATAGGTTTTATTTAAAAAAAATCATTTTTCTTTAGATTATTTTCACTTAAATATATTTAAACTTGATGTAAATACGGACACGATGTTGACAGTTGCACAGTGGCGCCGCCCACTCAACAGAAGTGACAATGCAAAAATTGTGAAAATGCAAAAGAAAATCGCATGAAAATTCGAAAATTCGCGTTTTTCCAGATATAAGACTAATCTAGATCGATTTATCGCCCCCGAAACCCCCAGTGTGCTAAATTTCATTAAAATCGTTGGAGCCGTTTCCGAGATTCAGATTATATTATATTGATATATATATATATATATATATATATATATATATATATATATATATATATATATATCAATATATCGACGGTTGAAAGGCTAATTGATCTAAGGGACTTTTTGTAAAACTTGCAGGAATAAGGATCAAATTTTTTTTTTGGAAAAAAAAATCATAAAAAATCAACTATTTGATAGACTTTTATTTATTTAATACACTGTATTCCTATTTAAATAAGGCAGTTTTTTAAGTTATAACTGTTGAAAATTGTGTATTATTTTAGAAAATTTATGTTGGTTAGTCCAAAATGCATCAAATTTAGTTATTTTTTGAGAAAAGCATAATGGTTCAAATGCTTATCGTAAATTAAATAGCTGAAAGTAACCTGGCTCAAGCATCGACTTAGAATAAAATAATACGAGAGAAAATGAATTTAGCGCCAAGTCAACTGATAGTTGAATATGCCCATGAGCCTTAACAACATAATGGTGTTGCACCAGAATGAAGTTATTTGATGCAGATACCCATTAGAGGGATGAAACAAAATGATCCCTTAATAGATTATAGTAGATATTGCTGCTTAGGCCATCATTGTTTAGCAACGACGTCCATAAGATATTTTTCTAGGGTTGGTATGCCACTTTATACAATTTAAAATTTTAGACAGTGTCTTGTGAATTTTTTTATATTATAAAAAATCGTTTTGGTGTATAGGAATTATTGGAACTGGCTTGGAACAAGGTATAAGATAAGGTGGTGTATCACCCTAAGCCTAGGTAGTAATTACACCACAAAATATAAAATTATTGTACTTTAGTATTATTTTATAAATAAAACAACAAATGTTATTAATTATAATTTATTCAATATCAGTCTTCAATATGGACGTACCTAATTTAAGTAACAATCAAACATTAATATTACAAAAAAAACTTTTCAGTTGCTTATAATAAATCAGAAGTTAAAAAAAA